ACTTACCCTATCACTTGATTAAAACTTGCCAAGCTGAGCTTGGTGGGTCTTGTTATCTGATAGTATAGAAGGGCAGAGCTTGCACCTCCACCATCCCCTTCTCCATTCAGCAAAAAGGGTCTTACAACCACTTTTTGAGTCTTACAACGCCAACCTGCAGGGTATACCCCCTGCAGGCAAGTGGCTTGCCTGCCTGCACGCCATTCTGCAATGGTGTGCAGGCGCGCACGCCAATCTGCAGCTGGCGTGCAGATTGGCGTGCGCGAGGGGGTTTGGCTTGCGCTTATCAACCCCCTTTCTCAATTAATTGTTTGCAAACATGTTTGTACCTTATTTTTTATGGTTTTTTGAAATTTTAAATTTATTTCCTAGGTTTCAATGTGCGTAGAATTTAATGGCGTAATCCTAATTACATAAAAATCAATTGTTCACTTTCAATAATGAAATTAGACACATTTTTTCACTTAAATTTCTACAGCTTAATTTTCATTCTTTTTTGACATTTTAGATTTTTTCCCTACACTTTAAGACATGGTTAAAATGATGGTAAACCCCATTTTGGATCAAAATGAAAACTATATCTTGAATACTGCATTTTACACATTTTTTTAACTATAAAAGAAAATCAACTTTTTTTGAATTTTTTTTTTTTGTTTGAGTGAAAGGTGAACACACAGAGGGCAAGTTTGGAACATGGGAAGAATGACTATAAGTGAACACACAGAGGGCAAGTTTGGAACATGGGAAGAATGACTATAAATTAATTGTTATTATTCATTCCAGATCTCATACTATCACTTTGGAGAGTTCATGTTTTCCTGAAAGAAATATTAGAGCTGTCAGTTTTTGTGATTTTCTCCTTTTTACTTTTTACAAATTTTATAATCTTGTTTATCATTATTATTTTTTCATATTCATTCTTTGAGACCCATTTTCCACCATTCCACCTAGAGATGTCGCTTGATACCCGGGTACCTGTAGCAGGTGCAGGTACCTGCCTCAAAAATCCAATATTTTTGACACCTGCACCCGCACCTGCACCTGCTAGGGCTGCCAGGGCGGGTACCTGGGTACCTGTGCCGGGTACCTGCGGGTACCTGGCACATTTTTGCAGGCAAATATACCCAGAAATCTCACCCTTGAATTTCTGCATGACCTGGTAAATATAAGATTGATATTCACTAGATATATGAGTAAGAATAAAATAAAAATAAAGAAATAAAGAAATAAAATTATACTATCACCAATTTGAATTTTATCTTCTCTCTGATCTATCGTTAGCTTTACCCTTTTGCTTGGCCTCATTTGCCTTATTCAATTTCCATTGATGAAGACTGTACACCGTCTTTATGACTGGAGGAATTCCTCCAGTCATCAAGACTGTACACCATCTCAAAGGCCGGCGGGAACCCTCCGGCCTCAACAAAGCAACCAGATTAGCTCAGCAACACATGAAGGACACCAGCTGGTGTCCTACATGGGTTGTTGACACCTTTGTGCAGCCCAACACACCCAAAAAAGGGAGTTTTAGACCACCAATGATAAATTAAATTCTTCAGGCAGCATTCCCAGGGCGGGTGTAAGGCGGGTACCCGGGTACCTGCCTTTTTTTTCCGCAAATGTTGACACCCGCACCCGCACCTGCACCTGTTTTGACCGCAAATGCTGACACCCGCACCCGCACCCGGTACCCGTTTCCGGGTACCTGCTTTGGAAAACGGATAGCGGGTACCTGCTGACATCTCTAATTCCACCAACTATTGTGACTTGAAATTTTTGGGTTCCTGGTGTGGAGCTCAAAACAGATGGCTATAAACATCTGGGAGGAGACTGTACATACACAACCATATCTTTATCTGCTTCATCATAAGTATGTAAATGGGTGTTTTTCATATCCTCATTCTACTTTTGGATCCTTTTGTTCCTCAACTGTTACACATGTACCTCTTGGGGTTGAAATTTAGCAATGCAGTCCACTGTCCTGGAAGAATTGAATCTGACCATCAATAACCTTGCCTCCAATCAATTGTTCCAATATATCTACTGGCTTAGAGTCCTCAGTAGCTTTGACCAACACTTGGGCCTTCTCAATGTTGAAGAATTGCTGTGGTTTGTAGCTTGACACCTCACTATCAAAATTTTGATTGAAATAGTCTTTGAAAATTTCAAGCAAGTACTTTGCCAGATCTTCCAAGCAACTAATCAAAGTCACAAACTTCTACATTGCACCCAGGTCTCCCTGGATTTCCACAGGACCCTGACCTAAATGTATGAATTTTTCAAAAAAAAAATCACATGAAAAAAGTGGTATGAATGAGTTTGGTGGCCTGAAAGGTTACACACCAAGCTGGCTTGGAATGTATGAATATCTACTAACTTGGGGGAAAACCCCCCAAAAATGTCCCAGTCCCCGCCTCTTCCGGGGGATTTTAGCCCAAGCATATGGACAAAATGTGTATGAATGGATGACTTCCTGTTGGCATTTACGGCCCTCAAAGAATTTGATTTACACCATGAAGGTCTTGATTTTTGGCAAAAAGAAAATCTTTCTCCAGAAGCCTTGTAGTGAAGGCCTTCATGTGAGCTAGTTGTGGCTGTGATTAGAGTATTAATTTAGAACTGAGAGAGGTCTAAAAAACACTCAAAATTGTGCTGGGAAGTCCTCCAATGGGCCCAAATGTGCCATTCTCTGGTGCCTCCTGATGTATGAATTTAGTCAAAATTCCGGGATTTTTGTCACCCACATTTATAGGTGGTTTCCAGATTCCTATTTCCACCAATGGTGAAGCCAATATTAGCTGAGTATTGATATTGGGTGGTACTGCCTATGAATACCACCCAATATTTGGGCTAAGTATAGTATTGGGCCCTTGGCCCAATAATTTTTATTCATGGGCACATGTTTTGGGCAGCCAATAAAATAAACTTTATTCATCATTAATCTATTGGCTTGGCCAATAAAATAAAATAATATACTTCAAAATTATCAGTGTGGATTTCAAAACACTTTCAACACTACCTCATATCCAGTACTGGATATGGAGTAAAAAAACCCGGATATTCAGTGTTTTTTTTTTAAAAAAAAATGGTGTGAAGAGGTGAACAAAAAAATATATAAAAATACTACATATCCAGGTTTATTTTACTGCACATCCAGTGCGGGATATGAAGTTATGTTTCAAGTGAAAACCTATTTTATATTCTATTTTATTCTTTTTTCTTATTTTTTTTCTTATTTTCTTTTTTTTTCTTCTTTTTCATTTTTTTTTTCATTTTTTTCATTTTTTTTTCATTTTTTTCATTTTTTTTTTCATTTTTTTTCATTTTTTTTTTTTCATTTTTTTCATTTTTTTTTCTCATTTTTTTTTTTTTTTCATTCTTTTTTTGTCTGTTTATTTCATATCATTTTCTTACTTTTTTCTTTGAGATTTCCCGTCTATCCAATCCACCATCCATGGTATTCTTCACATGATACTATGATGATTGGCTTTCATGGCTTGTATGCTTCTAATTGCACCAACATGCCCCTCCCTTTCTAACATTCATCATTGCAATCCACTTTGACGTCACAAAAAAACAATCATTATTGCCCTTTGCTTGCTCGCTAGAGTCAATTCAAGCCTCAGATTGCCACTAGTCTCCCATTTGCACCTTGATATCCTCTATTCTGAGCACACATCATAGTTGAATCATAACAATCATCAAAGGCTGACCTGATGTTTGCCCTTTTATTTTTTTGTGGGTGGATCAGTGGAACAGCTAGTCCAATGGGCTCCACTCTCATTAGTGATGGAATATATCTGATTGATCAAAGAGACAATGATGGTCAGAATAGAGATAGATGAAGCAGGTCCCTCTAATTTGCCAGTACCATTCAGCCCACAACTGCAGATGCCAAAGGCCAAGCACAAGCCCCAATTATTTGAACAGTCTCCCCTGCTCTCCTCTGCCCTGGACCCGACTTCCTCCACTTACAAAAAAAAAGAAAGAAAGAAAAAGAATAAAAAGTTAAAAGTTAAAAAAATGAAAAAAATGAAAAAAATGAAAAAAAATGAAAAAAAAAAAATGAAAAAAATGAAAGGAAAAAAGAAAAAAAAAGTGAAATTATTGAATACCTGCAATACTGTGCCAATATTTTATTGTATTGGCCAATACAATATATTCAAAACAGATATATTATATCTGATTGCCAATAAAATACAAATTTATTTTATTGGAAAACAGATATAATATATTTATTAAAGATACTTTTTATCTGGGCACCAATACAATATAAAATATTGGGCAATAATTTATTTTATAGTATATGTTGCACCGTTGTTTCCACCCAGACTGGACACCAGCAGTGGCACCTGGCACCTGCCAGCAGGTGATTGTGGATTGCCATGGGTGTCTAGTAACTGCCAATGGGTACTATGGGCCAGCTTTACATTGCTACATGTAGCAACAGTTATCTGAAAATGTTTGAGTGAATTGAAAACAGGTTTAGCTTGACCTAGTGTGTTTATATTTTTCTGCTAAATGGCTTAGGCTTAGCTCAAGCAAACCAATGAGTGACCCATGAAGATTCTCCAATTCCTCTCCCTCTGGGAAAAGGCTTGTTAATAATGAAAGGGGAATGATCTTTGATAATTTCAATGTGAGTAAGTACAGTAAAGATGCAATAAATTCAAGTAGGCTGGTTCATGTTGAAACTTTGAATACTCCATCTTTTGTGCTGTTGTCAACAAGATCTCACCATTCTTACAAAACACAACCTCATGGCTTATTAATGGTTTTTGGATCAATCTGAGCAGCTGGGAAAATTCATAAACTTCTTCACAATCAAATAGCATGAAATTCAATGGGCAAATTCACATTAATCCTGTAGCTCTTGTAGAATTGGAGTTGCAGCTTCTAATTGACTCAGATTCCCCCGCAAAATCTGGTGATCTACTTTGGCTTTAGATATTCACAAGAAGTCCTCTGATATAGGATTAGATTCAAGATGTGAATCATCAGAATATATAATTTAAGCCAATACCAAAAAAGCAGACATACATGCATACAGAATACCTTCTTTATAACAAGAACATATTATCAGTCTGCATCTGAGTTTTTTGCAGATCGTCGGAATTGCCTATCCAATGATCAAGACAACAAAGATGAGGACGACAAAAGGAAGAAACTAAGGTACATCAGGTAACACTTCAGTAGCCTCCTCGAAATTGCGAATGGCCAAGCATAGCAGATTGTACCAAGTAACAGACCAATTGTTGAAGTAATCTTGGGACGGAAAACTGCCGGTTTCTGGCATTCGAGGGACTAGATAAAGCAAGAGATCGAATAAACTACTTTGAAAAGAGACTTGTAGGCTTCTGGCGATTTCAGTCAACTGGACACTAGTAACACCTTCCTCTCCATCCTCATTATGGTTTACCTTTCTTAATAACTCTATGAGTTTTTGAAAACTGGTGCCCGCTTGTCCAGCTGATTCACTGAAATCATCTAGACTATATGAAGACATTCCGATGCTGAGTGGAAGCTGTTGAACGGTTATTAACCGACTGGAGAATTTGTTGAAGAATAACCGAGCGAGTTTGACGATTGGTATTAACAATTCAGCCATCTGCAGAACGGGTTCACTGAGAGGATTGCTCTGGGCAGTCTGGTCGGCTTGGTTGATTGGGTTTTGTTCGTTGATGTTGGTTGTTGGATGGATCAGGCTCCAGAGTGTGATCAATGTTTCATCCAAATCGCGTATCTTTTGCGGCCAATCATGCTGGACGATCTCGAACTCGGATCCTTTCAACCATTTGAGGGTCGATTTGATTCCTTCGCGAGTGGCAGCCGTATATTTAAGTAGCTCTTCTCGGGTCGCATCAATCTCCTCGGTCTTGCTTTCCGGTTGTATCCCGTGCTTCTCTATGCGGAGGCCCATTTTCCCAAGAAGCTCGAATGACAAATCAAGCACAGCTATCGCCTTGCACAGCGCATCGACTACCAGGGGTCGGTATAGGCCGTGGCTTCTGAAGGTTTTGAGTTCTTCGAGGTATTGGTCGTTGTTTTCGTGAGTAGGTGGACTATCTGTGTAATTTGGATAGAGCACATAATATTCAGATCGGATTTGTTTCAAAGTCGGCTCGAGTTCTGATTGTTTGTTAAACATCAGCTCGAAAGTCGCTTCTGGTTCCCTCCTCAATTTGACCGGATCTGATAATTTCGAAATATCTATGATTTGGCGTTCTAGCAATGGTAAGAGAATCGAGTGTAAACGTTCTATCGATTCCTTTTTCAGTTTGACTCGGTCGACGCCTTGATTAGCCGTGAGGTCTTGGTGCACCTCGTCATAGACATCCGGGTGGTAGTCTTGCCACAGCCTCCAAAACCTGCCGGCGACCACATCTGGCGAGTTGGTCAGGAATCGGTCAGCTCAAGGATTAAGGAAGCCAAGCCCTGATGATGACAAGGATATAAAACATCCGCACCTGCTTTTTGAAGAATCCGCTGCCGTTCGGTTAGATTGGGCTGGGGCGCATTTGAGCGCACAGTGGATGACTCGGGCTCCATGTTTCTTCCGGTTCTTCCTTGATCGGTTCGTTCGGCGCCCAGCTTTGGTCATACATACAGTCGACCGGCCGCATCAAACTCCGACTGCTTACATAACACGGCTATCCAAATGAAGGCCATCTTGAAGACTGAAGTTGATCAAGTTCACCACTTGACCAGTCTCATCCCGCAAAATTCGGAAAACATGTGACCTCGATGCGATTGCCAACCTCCTGAGAGAAGTGGACAAATTATCATCAATTCGATCAACCCATGCTGATCTCTCAACGATGCAAGAATGGAACTGGATTTGCCCGAATTTTGCCTCTGATGTGGGCACTGCCAGGGAAAGTCAGGGAATCTATGATGGAACTGAAAATACACGTATGTATAGATCATGTATATTAGGACAGACCAAGACCAAATCTAAAACCAAAAAATGACGAGGACAGGTCACAGATGAGATGAAGAAAGAAAGGGAATTGAAACCAAGGAGCAGCCGAAAAAAAAAATACAACAACAATGATTGAGAGTCCCGACAAGCCAAGCCCATAATTTTCTGTCCTTCCTTCATTCTTTCTCTCTGCTTTATTGTGATCCAGAGAAGACTCGAGTAAAAATGAGGGAAAGGTAGAAGAAAAAGAATGAAATAGAAGAAAACAGTAGAGAGAGAGAGCAGAGGTTTTTTGTTTGTGATCCGAGACTGATGAGTCTCCCCGGAAAGCAGGAGATCTTTGAATAGATCTGTCCATGTAATTATACATGTTTATATATCGAGAGATGTATATATATATTACATCATATGTCAAGTGCAGTTTCTAAAATATATGTATGTTCATAGATGAATAGCATTTGGTGATTCACTTTTTCAAGTCCAGAATCAAGTCTTCTTCTACAAATCATATGTAAAGGCGCTGGTAGATTTTTTTTTTTGAGAATACACATTTATGTATATATATTGGGTGTGCAATTGTATGTAGGTTTGTGGAGTTCAACGACGAGAAAATATGTGGTGAGTATTGAGAAATGAGCAACGACGGGAAAAAAACCAAAAAAAGATTATTGCGCGACAACAGAAAGGAGGTGGTATATATGAGGAGAAGGATAGATAGATAAATGAAACATGTGCAAGGATGTGAATATATATAAGCAATATCGCCATTTGACAGTCAAGAGCATTAAGAGGGTTGATCACTGAGGATGTTTATGAAGATCATCATGCGAGTGACGATGGCGATGATGATTCAAATCAAGACTTCTTTGATCAGGGGAAGGGAGGTGATGGACGACGTCGAGATGAGAAGGGGGGTCAGATAGCTGAGGAGGGTGAGTAGCGACGATGCGGATCTGGTCGGAGGACTGATCGACGGGGGCAGATTGGTCAGACATTGCAAAAGTCTGGGATAGGTCGGAGGAGCATGAGAGGGAGGAGGAGATAGAGGAGGAGCGACTGGGGCCGACGAGACTCTGTAACTCGGTGTGGTCGTACTCGAACTTCTTCTTGCCTGAGATCTGGTGGCGCTCCTTCGACTTATGACTCGCTCGCTCATATCCGCTCTGGTTCCCAGTCGTCGTGCTCGAACTGCGCGAGTTCAGCGCGCCTGCCTTCAGAAGGTTCAAAGGATTCTGGCTGTCTGTCGTCCCGTTTCGCGCCCGAACAAGCGGGGATGAGGTATGTAGGATCGGGGAAGGTGGCCAATTCGAACTACCTGGCTCGCCTGAACCTCCTCCTTTAGGATGCTCTCGAAGGGCTGGCAAGCCTTTGGAATTGACAATCCCGGCGGTCGTTGTTGTTTGGTTTTTTCTGGAGGGAGCTTCAGTTGTCTTTAAACCTTCAGAACCCCCATGCGGATCTTGAAGGTCGAAAAAGAAAAAAACGCCGGATTCGATGGGGCAAACAACGAAGATTTTGAGTGCAGGGGTTCGTGAAAAAGGGTGGAGGACGAATTGAGTAGCAGGCCAGACCATGATGTAGAAATTGAGGGGGATGGATGTATAAAACTTAGGGCGCACTTGCGGTGTTCGGTTGAGTAGTACTTCTTTTTTCTGAGCCCAGGCTTCCGGGTCGTGAAGCTACGCGATTGGATACTTTTGAATGACGATGGTCATCTGCAACCATACTCTCAATCGAGCCTTTATCTTTCAAGGCTCGTTTGTCCTGATCTGAAAGACTTCCCTCGATTGAATTAATTTGCGTAGGGTCTAAAGGAGTGAAGGGTGTGAGGTAAGTCGGAAGGCAACAAAGATCGCAGATATGGAATAACATACCTTCCAGAACTTCATCTGAAACAGGACGATCCCAAAGGGTGTGCCTCTTTAATCCGATCATTCCGATTTCTGGGTTACGCTGTTGAAGGCTTTTGAGGTAAGACTCCTGTCGGCGGCGACGGACTGAAGTCTGTTCACTCTGTGCAGCCAATGAGCTTGCAGTCGATTGTCTAGCAATCAACGTGTTCCGGTGGATGGAACCGATCAACCCTCCAAAGCCCCTCAACCCATCCACTCCTGGCTCTTCGGCACCCAAGCCCGATTCGGTGTCCACTTCTTTATCGGCAGCTAAAAATACGGCCGACTTGGGATCTAATCCCGTGAACTCGATCGGATCCACCTTGGACATTTGAAGTAATGTGATCCCGCAGCAAATAACCAAAACTGGAAAATCAAGAAAGAAAACAAAGTTTAGTCTTCTCCAGATCAAATGTCTCATTGATAGTGCAAGAATCAGCTCAAAAGACGCACAGCCAAGAACCAGAGTAATAATATCGGCGACAGGTGCTTTCAAACCTTGGAATAAGATGATTGAGGTAACCAGAGTCGAAAATGTGAACATCACATAGTAGGTCGGGGTGACTAAGAGAACAGAGGTGAAGTATGATTAAAGCAGTCTCTCTCTCCAACAGGGGTCCGAGGTAGTTGAGACTGACCCATAGCGGTGTTAAATAGTTCGAGAGCTTTGTTGAGGTAGTTGATTTCAGTCACTGGTATGATTGAAGTAGTATGTATCAGCATGCTTGGTTAATTGATCTATGTGAGACAAATGAGAAACACTGACATAGAGTACAAACAACAAATCCAATCAAGAAATACATAAACCAGTATTTGAATTGACTCTCCTACAAAACCCAGTCAAGTCAAGTCAGATCAACCAGTTTTATGCTTTTGAATGACAATTGGATTGAAAAAAAAATAGCCTACGCCTCGGATGGTTGTGATGATTGAAGCTCCCAGGCCCTGAGTAGCGACGACGGACAATCCACCGATGATAGAGCAAATCGAAATCTACGAGAAAAGGGGAGTTTTGAGGGGACAGTTTTTGATATACATAGTTCACTTGAAGGACTAACATAAACCAGCATATTCGTCTTGCCCCATCTGGGCGCAGCCACGAAAATTAAGAGTAATGCAGAAACGACGATAATAGAAGCGAAGACCAGAAAGCCGGGGGCCAAGAACAGCTTTTCAAACTAATATCCCACAAGAAAACCAAACTCAATCAACAAAAAAAGTTATAAAAGGTGGTGGGAGATGGGAAGGGTGTTCTTACCTCTGGTATTGTTGATACAGCTTGGTCCTTCGGCCCATTAACTGCGATGATCGTCGCTCCTAGGACACACAGAAAACAACCCACTTTCCCAAAGAAACTCAACCGCTCCTTCAAGAAAATTGACGATAGCACAGCTGAGATGACGACGGATAGAGCTCCCATGGGTGTGACTTGATGCAGATATGATTTTTTTAGAAAATTTGAATGTGGATTTTTCGGATGTGATGAGTTGAAATTTGCCAAGAAACGGGTTGGATAAATACAAGGTGGCAGTTAGCTCTGACTGGGTATTTATGTCTCTATATAAAGGGACAAACAACTGACCTAGGATAGCATCGGCGAAAGCGTACGCAACGAAGTTACAAATTTCACCGACGATCATTAACGACATTCCGGCCCACCACCTAACAAAAAAACACATGAGTTGCAAATTCTTGGGTTTTGAGGATATGACTTTGAAGATTTTGATTGGTTACATTGGACTTTTGAGGTAAGCATGACTCTCTCCGGCTTCCCCACCCTTTTCGAGGACCTTCTGTTGGCTGACGAGGAGGCCTTTCTTCTTAAAGACGAAGCTAGAGCCGATAAAAAGACCACTAACGAGTGCGAGGACGATGCCGATGATCTTATAATAGGATGGTGAGGAGGTGGATGTGGCGCCTGTGATTGCGGCTGAGGCTGAGGCGAGGGCGGCCTGTGAGGATGCAAGTGCTGAGGCAGAGGCAGTGATTGAGGCGAGTGTTGGTGAGGCGGTTGAGCTGGCAGTTGAATTGTGTGCCATCGAGGTGGCCATCCTAGGTCAAGGTGTGCTGGTTTGAGTGTGAGATTGATGGGATTAGGTTGATGATGGTTTTCTGATCAAGAAGAGTGAGTGGTAGTTGTATTCAAGTTGAGGGTCATCTTCCCAGTCAGTCGGTGAGTCAGTGAGTCAGTCAAGTCGTTGGTTGTGTGGCTGGGGTGTGTCCCTTGGTTGGGTTGGTTGGTTGGTGGTTGGTTTTGATGGAGTGAAGCACTGTTGCAGCTTGGCTGGGTTGGCGGAGTAAAAAAAAAACCCTGACAAAGCCGCCGGACAGAACTGTGTAAATATGTATCTATGGCCTTAGGGGATCGGATGGGGTTTTGTATTGGTTTTCGGACAGCTAGCAAGGGCGGTGCACGATCAACCTCGATTACATAACTGACAGGTTTAAACTAATCTAAACGCATAATCCCAGATCTCTTCTCATTTCTGTCAGGAGGATTCGCTGAGGCGGAGTCATTTGATTTTGTCTCCGGCTGACTACATCGGGCCATTAATTTGACTCACACATCCAGAGTACTGCCACGGCCACCCACAAAGCAAGTTCCTGTTCAAGTATGGCAATGGTGCTTTTAGACTTGCTGTGGTCGCTGTGGATCGAGGTGCTCGGCGGTGGCTGTTGAGGGTTTCTTGATGGTCTTCATCACCCTCCCTCTGTCGTCGTGCTGCAAAGGGTCTCTCTCCGGATTCATGATATCGATGATGATGATGATGATTGGTGGGAGTGGGTGGGGATGGTCACCAGGTCGGGTGCAGAAAGTGGTCATGACATCAAAATTAATTAATCGGATTTGTCCTCCGGTTGTTTCTCATTTCTTTCTTGACCCTTTTTATAGAGCCATGTGGCTGACAAGACTCGGTTCTACCCGACCAACAGCACACGATTCGGGATCCTCGAGAACGGCTCATTGGGAGCTTTTTCGGGGGTCAGTCTGTGTGATGTCTCTCGATAGACTTCGCAACCGACTGCATCAGAGTGAGCCACACGGAAAGAGATTGTCAGAGATATATTGTGTGATCATAAACAGGCCGTGTTGAGGAGACTTCGCGTAATTTCCCGCTCGACAAGCTTCAACAAAGTACGCGAAGCCACCACCCAAGGAATGTGAGCCAGGCATACAGCGCATCCGATCCCGAGCCACAGCCTGCCACAGCTGTACACGATTAGTAGAACGCGTCCCGGACCGCGGCCAGGCAAGCCTCGGCTCGGATCTCAACATCCGCTTCAAACATCTTGCAACACCCTTGACGTAAAAACATAACGCAAAAAACGTGATCTTGTTGAACCCGCCTACACTGTAGCTCGCGGTTGGTTGCTCCGAACAAGCCGAGTGAAGGAGACATACTGACGAAGTCTCATCCAGCAACGTCTGGACGGGATCACAGACCACTCACTCACGTAAATGCTATTACAATCGTATCAGACAAACGAGCCCAACTGCATGTCTATCAAAACGTGGACATCGCTATTGCTGAAACACGACTACAGCAATTACCCTTCTTAAACAGGTCTCACTGGGGTAATTGGTCATAGACAGAGTCCGCACTCCACTAGCAAGTATGTACGCCGGGGAAAAATTGGCATTAACTGTTTTTGTAAGTGTCACTGTAGGATGGTGAGCTGAGTTACATAAGTCGCTTCAACATAACATTGCCAAAAAAATACAGACAACCAAGAGATACACGATTCATCGTATCGCACAAGACTGCAAGTCTACAAAGCCTTGAGGTGTGTTGACTTGATTCTTCAATTTTGCATGTGCTTCGACTAAAAAAATCGGGTTGATCATATCGGAAATTTCGTCATTTCTAGCCTGGGGGATGGGCATCTAACCATTTTCAAGCTGTTTACTAAATTATCATGCACCTCAAAGTGAAGACAATCCTAGTTGAGCTTTCTATTAAACTTTTTTGAGATTTTGATGTTCAAGACATAAAGAGTTCATATAAAAATAATGTGGTTGACGGGGTCTTCATGTTTGATTTCCAAGTAGATTTTGGTGGAAGTTTTCCGCTACAATTCAGAAGCAAATTCAACTCAGTGCAGCCAACCTTGTCATTTTCACGGAGCAGTGGAAGCACATGGTGGTGATGTGGATCCAGCATTTCTGAGCGCCGGGACAGTCGATCGGAATTTCGAAGTAGAGAATCACCAGAACTTTGAAGTAGCAGATCAGAGCTTTGAGGTACAAGCTCCACATCAAAACTCTGATTTACTGGCCGGTGAGTAATTTTAGTGTGCATTTTCTTCCTTAGAAACTTTTCGTTGATAGTCGACAGTCGCCTGCACCTCAGCCGAACAGATTCCGGAATACCCTCGTAGAGAGGTTGATTGGGATAAGTTCCAAGTGATCACTTACTCGCCGAAGACGCTTTCCTTTGTCACGGCAGACATGATGGTTGAGTGCTCATTAAGTTTTCTCAAGTTGAAACAGGAAAATTAAAGAAAACTGACGGACTCTGTTCATGCAGAAGTATCATGGTCGCAAGCTCTTTCCAAAGGATAATGTGAAAGATTTGGGTTGGGGAAAGAAGAAGCTAACCAGGACAATAAAAGAATCAATCACAAGATCTGTTTACTTGATCAGAGGGAGAAATCAATTTCGGTCCAAAGAGATAAAATTCAAGAACGGCAACCCAGAGTCGTGTAGAATCTGCTTGGGAGAGTACAAATCAGACGAGCAGGACACCTTACTCTTAATGTTTCCTGGCTGTGATCACGTATTTCACCAAGACTGTCTGACTACGTGGCTTAACCAAAGCCCATGCATCGAAAGTATGACCGTCCACAGTCTTGTTTGTCCAACATGTCGGACACCAGCTCCAACAAAACACTACTTGTGCTTCCTTGGCGCACTTATCGTTCACCGTCGAAAAGAAATCCTTGAAAACTGCAGGAATTTTGTCTTTGGAATGCTCATAGGGTTGATTGGCTGCATGATCTTTTTTAGAAGATGTTTTTTGTGTTGAATAGCTAGCAATCATATAGTTCAAACCTGAAGCAAACTAGGATTTAGTTGCCCTGAGGCTGCAGCCCACTTACTTATGTACACAGCTTTCTTTCGCAGCGCTTTTTTCTTGCTGTTTTTAGAATTTTCTAGCGATAATGGAAACATCCAGGTTCCATAGTCTTATTGAACAATAGCCTACACCTAAAATCTTGACCAACTATATTAACTCACAAAATTTGATTGGTGAAGTGGTAAAGATTGGGTTGGACTCAGGTGATATGCTATTTGATAAATTCGGGACAACTTGCATCAGATGTAACATGAAAAAATGACCTAGATGTTTGGAAGCAAAATCTCTATTGATTTTAATTCTTTCTCGCTCAATCCTTGGCCAGAAGTTGGTACATAATCGCAGGGAGGTTGCCATCATAGTCTGTTGTCCGGCATCAAAAAACTGTAATCAGTTTTCAGAGCTAGTTGGTGTTGTTCAACCACAAAGGGACTCGTAATGAGCCGATAGTTTTCATAAATTCTGGATCTTTTGGGACGACTGGTCACGCCAGTGGCAACTTGTGAGCTGCCAAATGGCCTTCAACCAGCACTTTGAACGACGTCATGACTATATTATAGAAGCAGTCGGAGCCCGATGTAGCCGGAGCCGGCCGGAGCGGATCGGAGAGCTGGTGGTACTACAGCCGGCTTTGGCAGAATTCTTTCGGCTGGGAACCGAGATCTCTGCTGGAACGACCTATGTATCTCGACTCACTCCAGTCAACGTATGACCGAGCCTGGGTTGAACGAACCGATTGAGAAAGAAGACCAAGAAAGATGGAGCCCGAGTCATCCACGATGGGCTTGAATGCGCCCAAGCCCAATCTGACCGAACAGCAACGGATTGTACAGAAAGGAGGTGCGGATGTGTTCTATCCTTGAATGATCGAGTCTCGGAGCTGACCGACTGCTGACCAACTTACCAGATCTGCTTGTCGAGAGGTTCTGGAGGATTTCGGAGGACTACCACCCGGATGAATATGACGAGAAACGCCCAGACCCCACCGCTAGTCAAGCTCTTCCAGACATCGAGCAAGTCAACTTGAAAAAGCAATCGATGGATCGTTTGCACTCGATTCTCTTGCCATTACTAGGACGCCAAATCGTAGATCTTTCGAAATTGTCAGATCCAATCAAGATACGCAGAGAACCAGACGCGACTTTTGAGCTGATGTTCAATAAACTAGCAGAACTTGAACCGACTTTGGAACAACTCCGATCTGAGTATTATGTGCTCTTTCCAGAGAAGATAGATACCCCATATCCTTACGATAACAACGACCAACACCTGGAAGAATTCAAGACCTTCAGAGTTCGCAGCCTCGGCGACCGTCTAATGGTCGATGCGATACTGAATGCGATAAGTGTGATTGATGAGTCACGTGAGCTCCTTGAACAGATGAATCTCTGCATCAAGAGGCACAGACGCTATAGAAAAATCGACATCGATCGCTGCCGAAAAAACATACTTGAATCTACGGCTGACACCCTCGAAGGAATCAAAACGACCAAAGGATGGTTAAGAGGGTCTGAGTTCGAGCTTATCCAGCATCATTGGCCGACACAGATACGCGTTTTTGATGACACTTTGGACACACTCTCGACCCTGATCGATCCACCAACCAACACCAACGAACCAAACCCAACAACCCAACCTGAACAGCCTGAGAGGAATCATCTCAGCGAACCAGTTCTACAGATGGCTAGACTCTCAAGACCAATCATCAAGCTCACCCGGTTATTCTTCCACAAAATATCAAGACGGGTCATAAATATGAAACAGCTTCCGGTTAGCGTTGGAATGTCTTCATTCGTGTTGAAAGATTTGAGTGATTCAGCCGACGAAGCTGGGAGAATTTTTCAAAGACTTGTAAAGTTATTAAGGGAGGTGGATAATAACGAGCATGAAGACGATGAGGCTATTAGCAGCCCGTTCACTAAGATAAGCAGCATACTAGAATGTTCTTTTGAAACCTATCTATTTTATGTCTTACTGTATCTGGTGCCTCGGTTGCCAGAAACTGGTAGTTTTCCCACTCAAGATTCGTTCAACGATTGGTGTATTACTTGGCATAATCTCTTCTGCTTAGCTATTGAAAACTTTGAGGACGCTGCATCAATGTTAGACAATCCACACTAGCTTCTATACTTCTTCTTCTCCTTGAGCAGATGAATTTTGCCTGCAAGAAAACAAGACAGACTGCTAACAATAACAAATCAAGAGCTAGCTCTGGCAAGCGTCGGTTGCACCTGGGGCCTACGATTGCTCGCGATGAGAGCACACTCTGAATAATGCACACTGCTTCAGCTTGATTGCGTCAACGGCCGATCAAGGACGACTTCCTCGGAGGGGGCTTGAGCTTGCGAGCCGGCCCCTTCCCGCGAGACCCTCCGGTCGGCAGGCAGGCCTGTTTGAAGCCTCCGAGAGGAAGATCAGATGTCAGTGTATCACGGCTCGATGGAATCGGAGGCAGCGATGGCTGACACGGCCGACTCAGACTTCGACGGACTAGTAGGAAAACAGGAGGAGAGACTGGGAGGTACGTCCATCCAGCAGCTACTTCGGTCTGGCAGTCATGAACAGACAATCAAACTGACTCAACAAAATAGATTTGGTTGTTGAAGGGTTCAAGAAACTGATCAACACATATGACCCCGATCAAGATGACCTGGAAAGGCCTGAGCCCAAGCCTCTCCCAGACAGCTCAAGATTGGACGCAGAGAAGACGAAGAGAGGGCTGTTGAGTTGGCTCGAACTGAGCCTTCTGCCGCAACTAGGACAGCAAATCACCGATCTGTCAGCATTGCTAGACCTGACCGACTTGCAGAAAGAAACAGACTCGACACTCAGACAGATCCTAGAGAGCCAAGCGGAACTCGACCAGTCTTTGGGGAAACTGCAAACGAGCTTGTATACCCTCTGTCCCGAACCTGCACGATCGCCACCATTCGAATCTAGTGACCGAAATCGCAAAGAATTCAAATCCTTCAGGGCACACGGCTTGTACCACCATATCACTGGACAAGTCCTCTCAGAAATCATCCACGTCTTCAATGAGTCCTATGAGCTTATCCAACAGCTGGAGCTCTCAACTGAGCCGTACAAGTTCCCGGTCGAGATAGATGCCACCAGAACAGCGATCACCCACTATGCAGCTTCAACCCGGGACGGAATCGGATCGACGATCAGATGGCTAAAGGGATCGGAGTTCGATCTTCTGCGATCGCATTGGTTGAACGAGATATCTGGGATGAATGATACCCTCAGCAAGCTCATCAGCCTGATCAATTCGCCACCGAACACCACCGGACGTCCGCAGCTATCTCTCGTGCCCGAATTGGACTCATTTCATTACCATCCTCCCAGCCAACCAGTGATCCGACTGGCCAAATCAGTCCCCCCACTCCTCAAACTCTCGCGACTGTTCTTCAAGAAAATGACAAGACCAGAGATCGACACCAAGCGATTGGCTTCATTCACTCAGAGCGCTTCTCATCAACTCGATCACATGGCTCAATCTGCCGGAAACATCGGCTGCGACTTTGAAGAGCTTTTGAAGCTCTTCAGGAAGGTCGATCGGCGTGTGGATCGACTAGGACGGCCTATACAGGAAGAAGAAGAACCTTTGGTCTCCAGTGTCCAATTAACTGCAATCACCCAACGAATCGGAATCCGCTTCCAATCTTATCTCTTTATCATCCTCCTCTACTTCCATCCTGTTATCCCTAACAACCATTCCTTTGACTCTCAAAATCATTCCAAAGCTTGGTTCCTTGCTTGGTTTAATCATTTCTCTATCGCCGTCCGAAATTTTGAGATCGCTGCTGAATTCTTCGATGACGATGCTTAGTTTTATTTTTTTATTTTTTTTTGCAAAAAATTCTTGTACTTTTATTTCTCTCTTGATTGGCTGGAAATTTTATTACTGAAAAATTAACAACTACTGCAAAAAATTCCCATTACATACTTATAATTGCTCGTAATCAACGAATACGTTCTGGGACTCGGTATCCAAAGCAAGGCTTCTCCTAAAAACTCGAGCTCCTTGGGCGACATAGTGATGCGCTCAGTTAAGCACCCGGTATCTAGTGGATCGGAGACGGAGAGTCAAGCGACGTGTGCATAGCATCGTTGTCGGTCGTCACTGTGATACGACATGCACTCGACCGGACGTGGACTCTAAAGGCCGATGGCATTCTTCAGAAGCCGCAAGGGTCACAGAGAAACATAAGGCAGATTTTTTTCTTTGCAAGCCAAGAAGTTCATGGGGACATCGATCAAGACTTTCCTTTCCTGGCAGTGGCACCTCTATCAGATATCCCAGAATGAATATCACACCACCTCCACGGAAGCTCAGAGGGATCGTTGTCCTGAAACTCACCGCGCTCCTCTTCGGGGCCTTGATGGTCTTGGCCATGATAGCTATCAGCCAAGTCTCGGCGGACCAGCTCTTTGATTGCAGCGATCTCCCGGGCAAAAGTCCGTTCTGTGGGACGGCCCACCGGAACCGTGATCTGGTCACCGGTTCGTCCTACTATCTTCACCATATACTCCTGTTGGGATCCATCCTTTCTTAATATCCCCTCTTTTTCTCCTTTTTTTTGGGGATTGCTGCATAGTCATCCCTGCTCCGCCAGTCCCTAGCCCATCAACGCCCGGACAGCCGTACTCGTGCCAGGACAACAGCAAGAAGATATCGAACGGTACCCCCGTCTGCTGTGTCCCGAAAACCGCACGAGTAAGTTGGATCCACTCTCTCAGTTGTAAATCATAAAATGATGAAGATACCGTAATTGATTCAAGCATTTTCTTCGTGATGTTTCTGTTTCCCTAGCAAATAAGTAAAGCTGAATTCAGACAAAAATGTTCACGCGAAACAAAGTTCATACCGGATGGGATTCGTTAAAGAAATCACCGGTAGCCATCACGCCATTTGTATGTTCATTCCAACCACTGTTTCTGAAGTAAAGTGGTGTAGGTCAGGCACCCGTATTTTTCACTGGCACCGTGTTATTTCTTGAATGTTTAATTACCAAAGATTGTGATACCTTCCAATGCACTCCAATATGAGTGAAGAGAAATTTGCTTCTGAGATTTGGATGCTCCTTTTCCGACTACATAATTGAATCTGGTTATTTAATTGTCAGATTTATCTACACAAAACTAATATGAATCCGGCCACGCTTTAGCTGATTTTTCTCCTCCACCTCTATGAAGGGTTGATAATAGTCTATGTAGAGCTGTTACAAGAATGATGCTAATGATGAGAACTTAATGGTATTGATCGATGCTCCGCAGGATTGGGGCAGTGGGGCCCTAGGTATTTAGGATCTATGTATTTATGTAGATGCAATAGGCTCGCTGGATAGATTCACCTAGGAGCCTATGTTGGCGGAATATTGCGAGGATAGTCATCTGATTGGCCGCGGACACGGGCTATATCCAAGCTGTGCTGTGCTCCGGGGTCCCGAGCCGGCAGTTGGGCGGGGGTGCTGTGTAAATTAGATTCGGAAGGAAGCGACAAGAGTTTATTAAGGAAGCTGGCACTGCAAACTTCAAAGTGTGTTGATGTTCTGTTCAGAGCCTGTTTGCCGGAAGCAAGCTTGTTGACCGCATCAGCAGCTTGTCCTTGTCTCATCTCTCCAGACTGGAACGGCGCTGCTGGGTACATACTATCGAGCAGTTTGCTCCGATCGCTGTTTGAACCGGCCAATTCGGAAAGCGTCGGTATGTACACCACCACCCTCCGATATCCTACATACGCAACGTCAACTCCGCCGAGACCTTAACAAAGACCACTGTCCCTGGTTTGGTGATCCGATAGATATATCAAACGAAGAAACAATCAATATATTAAGATCTCGGCACTTTATTCCAGCCTCACCCGTGCCCCTCCCTCCCCCCTTTGCTCTCCTTCCAACTCAAACCAGAAGGGATACTTCCAAGGATGTCGATCTTCAAACGCTGGCTCACTGCAACCTCCCACGATCCAGCACGCCAACCATTGCTGAGTCCCAGGAAACGGGTGAGTGAACAACTGACGACACCCTCTTTTACCGACCGGCCCAAGTCCACACCGTAACTTCTTTGCACCCATCAATCAGTGATCGGAGTGGCCATATTCATCGGTAGAGCTGACCATAGGCGGTACTCTTCACCCTTCTCTTCTTGATTTGTTGGTGTGTGTGTGTGTGTTTGTAGGTCGTCTCAGAGGATGACGTATTGGAAGTCCAGGAAGCACCAGCGACAACACCTCTGCCTTACCGACAAATAGTGGTACTATGCTTCATGCGAATCACCGGTGAGCTCCTCCCTCTCTCTCTCTCAAATCAGATGTCTTCATGGTCCATTTGCAAAAACTTGGAAAACTGACTCTCTTCACCCCTTTGCTATCATCCCACACCAGAGCCCATCTCCCAAAGCTTAATCCATCCATTCATCAAGTATGTCGATCGCCTTCCTCGTTCTATTCCCTATCGCGATTCTCCATCCATCCTTCATCTTGTCGAGCCAGAAAGAAACGAATATTATGTCAACTGATCTGATGACCCACAATGGACAGTCAAATGCTCGAGGACTTGCACGTCACTCCTGATCGGACGAAGATCGGCTATTACGCTGGAATCATCACCAGTTGAGTCTGTCGCTAAAAAAACCCTCCTCCGTCAAGCTCTCATATTTTCACACATATCCAATCATGTAATGCTTCCATCTATTCATCTTGCAATAAATTCCTTGGATCTGTTGACGTTGATGCATTTGCCTTGCATCCATCACCGGCAACTTTTTTTTTTTCGTGGGACAGGTCTGTTTGCCTTCGCTCAGCTATGCACGAGTAAGTCCAAGAAACTCCACAAGTCAGAAGAAGTCCAGGTCAATGAAAAATCAATTCTGGCTAACCAATCTCATGTTTCTAATTTTTGCACACCCCAGATTTTTGGTGGGCGATGTTGTCGGATCGGATTGGACGAAAGCCGATCCTACTCTCCGGGCTGACCGGGCTAGCGGTCAGCATCATCAGTCTGAGTCTACAGACCAGTTTTGCCGGCATGGTTGTGGCCCGATGTGTAGCCGGAGTAATGAACGGTATGTCCAAGATTCCTCAGTCTATGTTGTGACTTAAGTTCTATGCTGACGGGTCCGTCGACTTGACTATGACTTCAAAGGGAACTTGCCAATCTTACAGGTCAGACGAGATAATCCTTTTCCGCTCTATGATTTCTTATCGAGATCTTCTAGCCTCTAGAGTTTTTGTGCCATTCCAACTAACCAATCTCGATCGGATCGAACCACCCAAAGAGCGTCCTAGCAGAGATCACAGATGAGACGAATAAAGCGCGGTACGTCTCCATGATTTCGACAAGAGTCTTCTGATCACTCTGAGAAACTCGATGCTAGCCTTCCTTCTTCACCCTAAAACTCTCTTGATCTCTACATCTTACCCCAGCTGATCTTTTTTCGTCCGTTCATCTTTGGTCTTTTTGCTAGTGTAGAGCGTTCTGTTAGTCTTTCTCTCGCCTAGGCTCGTTTTTCGTGTCTGAAAACAATGGCCTCGCCGTCTGATCCTGTTTTTGGACTTTGTTTTTTTGATTGATTGCTGCATAACTCGCTTCGATCCAGCGTTAATCCCGATGTGCAACGTGAGTACATCGAGTTTCCCAGAGTCCCTCACTCCGGACCCCAAGAAGGATTTTGTATTGAGCTTTTTTTTGGATTGGATCTCTCGATATGTAGGCCGTCGGGATAATCATAGGTCCATTGATCGGCGGATATCTCGCGAAACCGGCGAGCCAATATCCCGAATACTTCGGGAAGATTCAGTTCTTGATCGACTATCCCTACTTCTTGCCATGCTTTATTGCCGGGATGATCAACCTTTCAGCAGTCACCGTTGGCTTCTTTTTCTTGAAAGAAGTGGGTTGAAAGCTTTCCAAGATAGATTGGCTAGAAAAAAAAAACACTCTTATTACAAAAGTCATTCCATCCACTGACCTGATTTGTCTGTCTCTGTCTGATCTCGATCAGACACTCCCCTCGAAGACAAACGTCCGGAACTTACCGCTGGACAACGAGAGTGACGAAGAGGTCGAGGAGCCCGACTCGCAGCCCGAAGAGATTGCGAGCCAGCCTAAACCCAAGTTTTCGGCACTGTTTACGCCGACAGTCATCAGCGTCCTACTTGGCTCTCTCTTGGTATTCTTTCAAATGTCCTCTTTGGCTACTCTGATTCCACTGTTTGCATACACTCGTAAGTCGGCCATGTTCCATCGGACAATGACTCTGTTCTCCTCTAAGCTCCAGATTCACTTTATTGGTTGCTTAGGATTCGAGGACGGTGGACTTGGGCTTAATTTACGACAAATGGGTGAGTGAAGAAGAAGTAAAAAATCGGAAACGAGAAACAAAAAAGTGATATAGAAAAGGAAAGTTGAGAAAGGCTGAGCCAAGATGGGATGGAATATTGCAGGCACGGCTCTGACGACGAACGGGTTTGCAGCGGTGATTGTGCAGACGGCGACGTTCCCGTATCTGCAGCGGAGATGGGGGACGATGAAGCTGTTCCGGTCGGTCCTGCTGATCTGGCCGCTGGTCTTTGCGCTCCTCCCGATGATCCGTTGGGTCGTCAAGCAGCAGAGAGACGTCTCCGGGATTGACGCCGGCTCTAAGGCCGCTATGGTCGGCCTCATCTTCGTCTTGGCGATCAAAAGCTTCGGCAAAATGTCGATCGGTATGTCAGTTTCCCCGTGTGCACGGCTTGGATCATACTGACTTACCTCAATCTTCCATCCCAATTTATGTGTTTAATTGCTCTTGAAGTGTGTCTCACTTTATTGGTCAATTCTGCCGCACCATCGGCCTCTACCTTTGGAGCCCTGAACGGCCTGGCACAAGTCAGTGTTTTCTTCTCCTTCTCCCTTTTGCACGATCTCCAGCCATCCTCATCAGATCAAATCCGGCCCCTCTTCTTGCTTTCAAACATCTTAGTCGTGTTCGGAGCTGGCTAGGACGTTTGCGCCGTTCATCACCGGCGCAATCTTCTCTATCAGCATCAAGCAACAATATCTGAATGGAAACTTGATCTGGTTGTGTGGCTTATTGGTACGCAAAAAAAACATTACACTCTTCTTCTCTCATCTCTCTTTTCTTTTCAAAATCCCCCCCCCCCAAAAAAAAAAAAAAGATTCTTTGTCCAAGTGGGGGATCTCATTGACTTACTTAAATCCTTGGTCGACTATCATTCCTCTTGGTAGTTATCTTGTTTGACTCTCTTCTTTGCTCAAACAATCAAGATCCAGCCCACCCAGGTTCGGAAAAAGAGCTCGGCACAAGGTCCATCGACCTCCTGATTGAAAAAAACAAGAATACTTCTCGAAGTGTAATTTTCTTCTGCTATTCTCTCTCTCTCAAAGGGTCCTCTTTCCCTGCCCTCTCTCTCTCTCTCTCTCTCTCTCTCTCTCTCTCTGTACCTCGCCTTCCCCCCCCCTTTTTAGTCTTACTGTAGCCAACAGAGTTTTCTCTCTACCTAGCTAGTCTTCTCTTGAATAGTTATTCCTCTCATCCCCAGAAAATTGGCCTTGTGTTCTTGGATTGCTTGATTGAATTTGTACCTCCGTATGTATGTGTGCTACCCCTATATACATGCATTCCTCTTCTTGAAAAATGTCTATACATGTAATCTGTAGACTATCAGCACCACATATCCTTCCCGCCCTCTTGTTACAAAAAATTGTCTTTGGGTTCTTAAATTCAAATGAAAATCACATTGCTGTCTGGATGATAGGTGGTTGATTTTATATGCTCCCAAATAAATCACTTTGGATTACAACTTTTTGCATGTTGCATTTGAAACATTGTAAGTTTGTAACGGTGGTAATTTTGAAACATCTGCTAGTTCCTTATACTTAAGACTTTATTGTAACATTCAATTATGTAAAACTAAATACTCCTGATGCAAAATGGAACTGATGATAACATGGTCATACTATTTTTTTCTGACATTTAATTAATGTCATTTTGTAGGTTTAGTTCAATGTTTACAGGGTGTTAAGTGGTATTGCGATGGGAAACAAAAAGTTTGATTGGGCATAACATAGTCTACTGGAAAGTTTCCACCTAATTATATTGATTGAAGCAGAAGAAAACGTTGTTGAAAGACAGAGATAACCAACGCAAAATGACTTTACGACTTCTCATAGTTAATTTAATTACTTTCTTCTGGCTGTGGAGGTTCGAAAATGTGCCAACTTTCATAGACAATCTAGCTCAACACTCATCAGGAGGCGCCATTTGGAAAGCTTCCAAGAGGATTCCAATCTAGCAGGTCGAAAAATTCTGGATGATTTCCCTCAACCATGAATAGCCTTGGATCTTCTTCAACCGGCGTGTCTTGGTTCAGGATACACGCACTCGAAGTAAATGAGAGTTCCTGCTGTTCTGGAAAAGCCGTTGTGATTTCGTTTGAGTGCTCCAGCGGATAGTAAGGATGTGAGATAGATCGTGTCCCGAGTGATAAGCTTTTCTGACCAGGGTTGTCTCGAAATTCCATCATTTCTTCCGCTGGCTCCGACTCTCTCATGGCGGAAGATTCACACATGACCTGATCCGAAGACGTATTAAGAAGCGCCGAGTAGTCTTCGATGGCAACGTTGTTACAAAGGCTTGCTCTGGATTCGATCGATTCACTCGAGTAGCGACTCGCCCCGTCAACGTCACTAACTAAAGTGAATCAATTCAACAGCAGAAGAAGGACCTATCAGCTACACAACCTGACTGCCTGGCAAAGCTCCGTTCCTTCTACTCACGTTCTGACCATCGATGAACCTCATGACCCAGAGAATTTGTGCTGGCGTTTGAAGCCGACCCGGGGGCAAGATCCTCTTGAGACACACGGAAGCAAATCCCGTGGCCAGCTTCCGTTGGAGTTGAAGTGCTTGAATCTATGGGGTTGGATGATGAGTCTCGAAACGTATTTGAGGTGTTCCTGGAAATCGAATCCATCTGACCGTTTCCCGAATAGCTGAACCGGCGTTCTGGTCTTAGCCAACTCGATTTTCCAGCAACCATCCGCCGGGATAGTGAGACCGAATACTCTTGAGGGATATTTCCTGAACCCAACTGACGTCGATATATATCGCAACGGCTAGTATGCGGAGTATTTGTCGGAAGGGTATCCGGGGACTCATTGATGTTGGTGACAAAGATATCACCCTGCTTCTGTTTTGGGGAAGCGGTTGAAGATGGAGCAAGATGATGTCTCATTTCTTCCATTGATGCATGAGAATTTGTCGGTAAGTGATGAGGAGATGGCCCATCAAGATCGCAGAGAACTTCATCATTCGGGTTTTGCTTTGAGGAAACAGTTGGGGGAATGGAAGTTCCAGGGCTAGATTGCTTCGTCACTAAACTAGAGTGGCGAGAAGAATCCTTTATCTGTTGTGCGGCGTTGGATTTGATACTTGATGAATCGTAAGTGCTAGCTTCGAGAACTTCCGGGCAGCCACCCAAGAATTCACTCTTATTGGACCCGTTACTCTCATCTGGCTGCCGCTCAACTGTTTCGTTTAACATGCGCTGAGACAGAGGTCGAAGCCTACAGCGGATCAAGATAGGTGATCTTTGTGGAGGAGATGTAGAGGAGGAGGAATATGACAAGGGGGGTTTGGACTTTGAAGATACGCTGGGACTGATTAAGTTCTGCTTGTCGGAGGGTAAATGAGTTCTAACCCCACGGTCAACAGTCGTGGTAAGCTTAGCTCTGCCGGGATGACCGGAAGGTCTGGGATTGAGATCGGTAGATCTATGGTGTGATCTTGGTTTGATCTTAACATAGCTTGGTGGACGATACTCTTCGTCTTGTTCCTGATCTCTGCCGCTGCCGGAGCGGATTTGAGGGGCAGAAGACCCGGAGCGGGAGGCGGCGGCTTGGTCGGAAAGAGATTGAGAGCTCGATCGCTTGGGAAACTGGACGTGTCTCAAGTCATCCTGCTCCTGGTCGATCGATTCCTTGCGTTTACGCCAAAACCAACTGGTAATCTACAAGATAAAACTGGGTTAGGGACATATTTAGGTAAAATGGCATCATTGGAGTCAAGCAAGGCTGACTTGTTTCCGCTTGAGACCAGTCTGCTGCATGATTGTGGTGACTTGGGAATGCGAAGGTGTTGGGTTATGCTTAAAGATGGCATTGAGAGCCGGAGTACAAGCGTAGGGATGGCCGAAGGGTATGACATGTCTCCTGCGATTGGAGTGCGAGCCACGCCGGTGATGGGGAGCATCATGATGGGAAGGCATGCTTCTAGGCTCTCTGTATGTATGAATTCCTTCAGCCAGAAAATTGAAATGGATGTTCTGCACTCCAGTCAGGATTAACACTATCAATTCGAACTGAGCATCAACTCAGAGTCAAGGCACCGAGGGACTGGTTTATTTACCGATAGATTGATTTGAATTGATGGGAGCCAAAGACTGAGATGGGGGGAGGGTTGTCCTGGCGGATAAATATTGGAAGCTCTCTTCCCTGTTGACCACTGGCGAAAACTCACATCCATCACTCAAAAGAATCAGGAGCAGTGCAGCTGGCGGACTGTCAAGGGATTCCCCAACTCAAATGACCATCATCGTCATTTGTTGATTCGATTCTCTCTTTTTCTCTTCATTTTCACTCTTGGCTTTCCAGCCATCTTTTTCTCTCTCTGTCTGTCTCAACGCTCCGATCCTACTCTTGCGCTGCATATTGGCTCTTATCCTACATACACAGCCAGTACATAATCAGTCAGGCAAATTGCACGAAACGATCAATCAACCACAGCCGAATACATGCGGTAGAGTAAGCCGGATGATAACCGGCAGAATTTGGAGCAATCACTGCGTCTGTGACCAAGGATCTAAGAGGGCTACGACGGCATGCACATATCAATCTTGTGATGGTTGAATTAAGAAAGAGGGATGATCGCTGACCAAGGGTGAATTCGCCGACGATTAGCTCCAACCGCCGCCGGCTTACAAGATTCAGTCAGGCGGTGAGGATGAGATGGATGATGGCCACATTGTTCCAATCAAGACGTGTAAGCCAACCTGGAAGTCAGCATGATATCGGAACGCAGTGAAAGTAGGGTCCGTGCAGCTTCGAGTGCTCGTCTGGACGCCTCCCCCCGAACTGGGGAAGACCTCCCCACGTGCAAAGTAGTCTACGGTCGGAGAAGGGCAGCCTCATCGAGTCATCAGTCTGCCAACGTTTCCTCAGTACATCATGAGGACCTGATCTGAAATCCATTCCTGTTTCCACACCATCACATAGGAAGGTTGAAGCTTGGCTGTATCTAAAGTGGGGTCCTTCCGCCAGCGTGGGGTTTCCCGCTATAGCCAGAAGGTGGACAGATGGGCTTCCTCCGAGTCCTATGTAGTTGTGATTCAGTAGCCCCACTCACGAGCAGGCTTATCGCAAGGGTCTTTTGGGGCCGCTTCTGAGCCTGCATGATGCTCTGTGCCACACGGGGTCGAGCGGGGTCCACATTCCGCCTACATTCTTCTTTCCGCGCCGGGCTCATGGAGTAAGCCAGCGCTCTTCGGTTTGACCGAGGCTCCGGCCGGGTGAACCCGCCGGGCATCCTCTTTATCTGACACATACAGCTGTTCCCAAAAACCTTGCGGTTTCGGGAGCGCTGTATTTGCGAAGAAAATTTTTAGCGCCACCAACTTTTAGCGCCTCACGGCCTGTACAGATGACGGTACAGGTTGTGATCTGGCTGCCGAGGCCCTGGTGTGGGTCCGGATGCCTGCCAGCTGCCAGGCAGGGAAGGGCAAGCCCCTACCTCAGGACCGGCTCCGAACCAAAAAATCGAGAGGATCACGATGATCCAACTCCCATACCCTCAACTCAAAAAATGAGGGAGTTGGGTACTCTTGCCTGCAGTACTGTGGCCATACAGGGCCACGTACAGGAGAGAGCGGCGCTAAAAAGAGAGGCGCAAAAAAATTTTCTTCTGAAATACAGCGCTCCCCAAACCGCAAGGTTTTTGGGAACAGCTGTACTAGATGACCATGTGCCATCCGATCTCTTGAGCCTGTATCAGGCTCAGCGGTCACCAGGCTGCTTCCATGGACGCCGGTACACTCGGCGCTATGCCCTACCGACAGGCTACCGTACACGCTCACCTCTCATATATTTACTGCATAGCCTTCAACCGAACCCTTCCGGGTGCTGTGTAGCGAGACGTGTACCTAGGGTGCACAAGGGTGCCCCTCTGGTCAGAGTAGCTTGTCATAAATTCATCAATCTTTGTAGTGCGAAGGGCAATATCAACACCCCAGTACAGCTACCTCGCACCTTACTTGCCATTTTCGTCTTTGATTTTGAAAACAACCACCATGTATTCATCACCAACCTCAGATTTGCTTTCCCCAATGATGAAATTGACACTACTTATCGGGATGATCACATTCCTATTCATAACCCCTTCGCACGCCTTCAGATGTGACAATGCCTTCGACCTCCACGGTCCTACAACCCGTGGGGGCGTAGAGAGAACCAGTAAGCTTCGATATTACCTTCCGGATTCCGATCTGGCCGATTTCACGGCTCACCAATTTCCTCCCCATCCAAAGCCTGCGTCACAGGCTCCGTGAAGCGTTACTGTACCCGGGATAAATGCCTCGCACGTGGACCACCTGGTACTTCTCCTCGAGATTGTGAGAAAAAGACTTTGAATTTTACAAATCCTTGACTCAGCCTGATCAGCTGACCCATGGATTTATTTAGTCACCCGACTGGTCTTCATCCGGTGTACCGATAAGGTTAACCCTTCACAGAGCTTCCCTGTCGCTCCAATAAATTATCACCCTCACAGTGGTGGAAAACTTGGTAAGCACCTGAAAGATTCCCAATTGGATGGAAAGCTTTGATATCTGATCCAGAGCGCTTTACATCTTTGTCACATTCAGATGTTGTGGGTTACAAAATCTACAGCGACACCCATCAGAAGGCCCCTAAACTGGGTGAATACTTATGCCCCTGGGCAAACGGGTGGAGGCCAGGTGAACTACGTTTGTTATACAACAAGCATTCTCTTCATTGTCACTGACTTGTTTTTTTGCACAATGTCATAGACTGCGACGATGCTGCTTGTGGGCTCGCATAAACTGAATCTCAGTGGACTGATAGAGACGGACAACAAAACCTGCTGGGCCTTTTTTCCTCTTCTCGCTTTTTCCAACTTTTCAGCCTAGGACTCAGGCTGTAATTATAAACAGCTTTTTGAGTTTGTTTTGAGAATCTTTTGAGTTTGTTTTGAACTCGATCCCAAAAAATATTTCTTATGTTTTTTCTCAAAAAGATCTCAAATCGGCTCTGAGGGTCGATTTGAGTTTTAAATTTCCAATATTTTACATGTTTCCAACGGCCGAGAGGTCTGTGCCGTCTGTGTACATGGATGACGGCACAAGAGCCTGATGGTAAAATTGATTGAAACATCCACCCTACACAGAGCCGGTATCCAATATCGGGAAGAAACCATCTATGATGAACCAGGCCATGGATCCAAATAGCAGCCCCCCTCATTACCACAGCTACGGCAGTACCCAAAATCAGCATCTTCCACCTGAACAACAACAGTACTCTTCTGATCACCCTCAAATGCAACTATTTGGCCCAGACGTTACTCCCCATCCTCCTCCCGGCAGTTGGAGTTCGTTCGGAAATGTACAATATCAGACTAATGAATCAGGACAGCCATCTCTCTAAGCTACTCAGAACCAGACGGCTGGAGCTTATTGCTTGGACAACTGACAAGCTTTTTTCAACCCCAATCTTCAAGACTACCCTGACGGGCATCTGTTCCAAAACAGGCGTGGACCTGTGAATCCCATATTTCTCAATCAAAATGCAGGGTTTTCTGATCAAGGCTCCAACCCACCTCTTGATGGAAACTTTGACTCGTCTACCTTATCTAAAATGTCACCAAATTCAGGACCAACCAGGACCCAAGGATCATCACCAGCTGTGGCCACTTGAACTCGCAGTCGCAGGTCCCAGAGATTGGCTGCCCAGATGACGTTAGCAGATCACATTGCAGCAAAGAAGGCCGCCGACAAAGTCCACAAAAGCGGTGTGGCGGCAAGAGCGCGCCTTGACCAAAGCTTTGGCCGGTTTATTTGGGTGCATGCTGAATGCTTGCGGCTGACGTGGAAAGCATGCGGAGCTGACGCTACACACGCAAGCTGAGGAAAGCGGCGGTGCATTAGTGGAAAGTCTAGCTTTCCGAGGCACAGGAAAGCGGGGAAAAGCAGGCTGAATGCGCAAGGTTCCGAAAAGCTTGCTGCGGGGAATCCGGGCACTGGCGGATGCTGGAGTTCACGGCCGACTGCGGAATGGGGGGTTTCAGCGTATACTGCGGAGGGGCTACAAGGAGCGGGGGCACCAAGGGCCGGAAGCGGGGTTCGGAGTGAGCCAGAGGCGGAAGCGGCGGTGAGAGACCTGTCCATGGGCGGCCGGAGGAGTACCTGGATTGACAGGCGTCGGAGGGGTGACGAGCGGAGTCCGAGGTAGTGACAGCGGAGGACATCGTGGGAAGCAGGAGGAAACTTGAGTGTGGGAAAATTGGGAAGAGTGGAGTTCGGAGCGGAAGGGAAAAGGAAGGGGGGGGACTTATGACTTAGAACATATCAGAAAAACAGAGTGACTTAGGAGTGAATAGTGTATTAGCCTAAAGAATTGTTAGAGTGTTACCTACCAAAATCAATAAAAGAATAGTTATTTTTACCTACCTATAAGACCATCAAGCAAGCTACCCCAGACAACAAACCGGAGTAGGACGTGTTGCGGAGCGGAGAAGTGCAAAAAAACTCCTAGGGCGAGCCTTACTTTCCACAGCGGCTGACAGAGCTGAAAATAACTTTGAGAAGGCAGCAGCAAAGACAGCGCAAGGGATAATCAAGCAAATTCAACCAACAAAACCAGCTTGGGTAACATGGTTGGAGGACACTTCAATTGAGATGGTCCACTTCTATTGTATGGTCAAATATGAGCATACCAAACTCAAGTGCAACCAGACCAGCTTTATGAACTTCAACAAGTTCCTATTGGCCTAGCCTGTCAATAGTGATCTTTTTCCCCTACTAATTGGATGCACCAATCAAAGCCTCTTGACTCATTTCAGCCCTAATGGAAATGTGGTGTGTAAGATTGTTTTTATTTATTCCACTGGCTTGAATTGTGTTTGATTGATTGGCTAATCAAACCTTATTTTATAAACTATACAGAAAGTAAAGGATAAGGTTGATCAATCAGGAAGCAATGGGCTATTTGTTGCCCTTGTGGAATGTGGAATGAGTGATACAGTAAGTCCTCTGCTTAGCTCAGATAGACCTGGAGGCAAGCTGACTCTCTTTTGATCCTCTCAGATGTGGAATCTGCCAGGGGATATGCATGGGAACAATGCTGCTGCCCACACAGATGGGCAAGATGAACTTGAGGATCCAATCAAGAGCCTTTTGGATGATCCTGGTGCAACCCCCCTGGCCTTGCCTGGGAATTCAGCATCAGAACTTCCTGATGACCTGATTGCCGAAACCCAATCAATGAACCCACTACCTAATCCATCTCAATCAATCAACCCACCAGCAAGTCAATTGACCAATCCACCAGCCAGGCTCAATTGTTCCAATTTGCCACCCCTGAGTGATGCTCAATTGGCGCCATTGGCGCAAGTAGACTCTCCCAGCCCTCCACCTGCATATGAGTCAATCCCAGCTCAAGCAACCTGGCCTACCCCTTCTAGAGCAACCAGAACCGCAAGCGTTGGTGCAATCCCTGCAGCAACTGGAAGCGGGGTTATGCCTTCCACTTGGCACCCCCTGGCCAAAAGTGGAGCTCCAGCTCATTGAAATGGGTACTATGAGGAGGCTCCCCAGAAGGAGAATTCCACAGCCAATGGGATGCTCCTCTTGATGCACAAATCAGAATAAGCTTGCCTTGACAAGCGTTGTGAGGCAAAAGGAAGAGGCTTGATTGGAGGCATTGCACAAAGATCAGCGGGAATGTGAAGAAGCGAGCCGACAACTCTGAATGGATCAGGATTCTGTGGCCCTTCAAATGTGATTGAACCAAGAGGCGGCGGATGAAAGAATTGCTGCTTGCAAGGAGGCTCAGGAGTCCACCCAACGTTGGGAGACCAAACAGGAGCAACTCATATTGGCACAGGCAGCCCAACAAGCAGCACAAGATGTCAAGAGGAAGCCGAAAATTCTTTCCAGTTGGGAATGCTGGAGTTCATGGGAGGAGTTCTAGGAAAATGACTGTCTTTGTTTATTCTCATTTTTATCTTTCAGTCTCATCTCTAATCTAAAGGACTGTGTATCCAATCTGCTCTCACTTTCATGACTGAATCATTATCATTTTTTTCATGAATGTGTTGTTGTGTACTAGTGCAATCACAGTTTCTCTCTTCATCATTATCTTTTATTCTCACTTATTATTCTCACCTGATAGAAGTCCGATCAATCAATTTCAATTTAAAGTACTAACTTGGCTCTAGAGATGGTTGCTTGCCATCCGGATATCCGCGCGGTGTGGTAAGCCAATCTTGAATAAGAGGCCCACAAAATCAAAGCCTCAAGCACAATATCAAGCCCTCTGGATTACAGGACCCTCAAGGACCAAGGCAAGCCCCTTCTGGAACATTCAACCAACCTGCAACACCATGGATGTCACAAGACCAAGCCCCCTGGACAGAAGACACTCTGGATTCTCATTTCATTTCATTATTACATAATCATCTCATGCAATCTTACATCATCAATCCCCATTCAGCCTTCCACACTTGGTCTTTGCATGTGTTTCACTCTATTCCACTTTCACTCTAGCTTCATTTCCACTTTGGGCCACATTCTATGGTTTCACACTATTCCTCTTGGGTTATTTTCATGTCTCACACTAGTACACATTTGGCTAGTTCATTTATCTCTTTGGTATATTCTTCCTCCCTCATTGGTTGTGGCACATTTCATCCCTGCATGTCTCTGATGTCATTTTCCCCATTTATCTTAGTGCCTACCAATTGGGCCACATTGTTTCAGTTTGATAATTTTCCCTTGTTCCATTTTGTTCAATGGTGTTTCCAACCACAAGCTGGCCACTCCCCAGATTTTGTATATAAGGAGCCTTGTTTTCCCCTCTTCATTTGATCCTCATCAGATCCTGCCCCAGCAATCCAGATAACTGATCACCCTTCATTAGCCTAGTAGTTGCCCATCAACATTTGGGATACTAGTATTATTCAGACAGAAGACCAGAAGACAGAAGACATACCCATCTCAAGAATTCTCCAAAGCCACACCTTTCCTTAAGAGTCCACACTCTTATCTTTTTCTTGTTATCTTACTCAACCCAGTTTACCAGAGAGGCAGCCCATTAAAGCATCTTTCCCTCTCCAGCTCTATTCATCCCAAGAGTAGTTCCACAGCGGATGCGGATATCCGCTCACAATTTCAGCGGAATCACACATCCACATCCGTTGGTGCTGGTGGGTATCCGCGGATACACGCCCTTTTACTGATCAACAATGGAGTGGGATTTTTTATTTTTATTTTTTTTTCAAAAAAAAGAAGAAGAAAAAACCGCCCCCCCTCAGCCTAGAGAGGCAGAGGCCAAACCATTGGGAGGAACCCCTCCCGGCAAGCTGGATTTTGTACCAGCTTGCCAGGAGGGATTCCTCCTGATGAGCTGGGATAAATACTCTCTTGCTGGGAGGGGTTCCTCCCAACAAGAGGGTATGTACACCAGCTCGTCAGAAGGGATTCCTTCTGACAAGCTGGATTGTGTACCAGTCACTGGGAGGGATTCCTCCCAGCAGTGTGGCCTCTCTGATAAAATTTTAACCGGAGACAAAGAGAATTTTTGGGCAACAAAAACAAGTTTTTGTTGGAGAGGCTTGAGGGTCGGAAAAAGAGAGAGAGCCAATGTGTTTTGTACTTAGAGGAGACTACATGTTAAATAGTCTACATACAAGAGGTCAAACAAGTGGTTGAGAGAAAAATGAATATCATAATGAATAACAAAAATCAACAAATTCTTGAATAGATGACTGGAGCAAATGACTATTGATAAAGACTAGACCAGGGTTCAAAGACTACAAGGATTGCAGCACTAGACAACAGGACAAGATACCACACAGAAACTAACAAAGACTGTATAATAATTTGAATTCTATTATTTAATCATTATTAATTAAAAGACTAAACAAAAAGGATTTTTTGGGATGAGGAGAGAGAGAGACAAAATTCCAACACTCTCTTGGCATTGGGTATCCCTTGGGATACCTGGATAACCGCCAGGATTTCAGGGGGAAGGGGGCATCTGCACCCGCTGGCCGGTATCTGTTGGCACTGGCGGGTATCCGCCAGCGGATAATGTATATCCACAGCGGATTATCCGCAACCATCTCTATAACTAGCTATCAATATAAAAATTTATACATGAAGTTTCTTATAAAAGAGTTTTTTGGATTGAGAGAGAGAGAAAAAAAAAAATCAAAACAAAAAGGCATTGAGAGTGAGAAAACAAAGCAAAACAAAAAGATGGAATATTTACAACAGAAAACATCCTCTTAATAGGGGGTACCAAATATAATCAAATCCACCATTATTTAATTGACTGGTTTGAAAAAATCCACCCTTCTTTAAACATGTAGGTTATTCATTTAACCCCTTTTGGTGGCCATTGATGCAAAAAAAAAGTTTTGGGGAAAGTGACTGGTTTCTAATGGTGTATTTCCTATATTTGATACCCCCTAATTAATATGAGGTGTACAAGTAGTTGCTGATGATATCTTGGCGAGTCCACATAGACACCTGGGGATCTTTGGGATTTGTCTGCCTGTTACCTCCCTTGTCCACTTGAGGGACTTCACCATACAACTGCTTGTGATTTTTTTTCTCATACCAATCTTGCAGATAGAGCGAGGCTTGTTGGTTTAAGATGTTGTGTAATACTATACAGGCAAAGGCGTTGTTTTTTGCCCAGAGTGGCCAGGCATCCTGGGATTGAAGCAGAATTCTGAATCAATTCTTCAAGTGTCCAAAAGCTTGCTTGAAAACAATCCGAGTCAAGGCCTGAATAAAGTTGAACCATCCTTTGGCTGGGGAGAGCACCAATGAATATGGAACAAGAATATTGATATTTGAAGGGTACCCTGCATCTCCAACCAGATATGTTCCATCCGGTGTAAGACTCAAAAGTGGTTATGAAACCCTTTTGCTGAATGGAGAAGGGGATGATGGAGTTGCAAGCTCTGCCCTTCTATGCTATCAGAACAACAAGACCACCAAGCTTAGCTTGGCAGTTATATTTATCGTGATAGAGGATAGTTCAAGATGAAGCTTCCAATTGATGTGTATAAGGGTCTGAAGTTATAAATGAGTGATGATTATATTGATGAAGCTGTTGTTCAAAGCTTTAAAACCAAGGTGTGGAGCTCTGGGAGCGCTATGCTTCAACCAGTAATGGTATGTGAGGCAGGTTATGGGCACTTGGCACTTGTTATGTTGATGAAAGTGTTATGTGTGTATTTCAATATAATGTATTGTTATGGCTGTCACTTGTATATAATCTGTAATGTGGGTTGAGTTGATCTGGTCCTCTGGTGGGATGATGGAGGGAACAACTGGCAGGCAGAGGCCTCCTTATATAGACAAATGTGAGGGATTTTAGCCCCAGGGTACAGGCTTTTGAGGCATTTTAGCTGGCCTGAAGATCCAATGAGGGAATTTAGCTGGTCTAATACATGCAGGTGAGGGAATTTGGCTGGTGAGAGCACTGCCTTGAGGGAATCTGGCTAGCCTACAAGGTCCTACTACAAAGGAATGCATGTGCACCTACAAAGGAATTCAATATGCACTATGTGCCAATAAAGGAATTCAATACAACACAAAGGAATTCATTATTCAATATGCATCCAGTATTCAAAACAAGCCATACTGAGACAAAAGATATCCTGCGACAGGTTGAAATCTGTGTAACTTCTAAACTAGGAGAGATATGGGGTCAGTTGTAGTGGGTGACTAGGGGTTATTTTACCTGAGAAATCCATTTCTGATGTTAGTTTTACCATATCTATGATATATAAAGAGATAATAATAAATTTTTATATTTTCTGCGTAGAAACACAGTATTATTTACCACACCGGTATCATTGGTCCCTTGTTAAGATCTGGGAGAAGGCTTTGGCCTGTAAAAGATTGTCGGAAAACCTGGCTGTCATGCATCAATCCTGGCCCACCCCCACTGACCTGGTAAAATTGATAGAGTATCAGTTTTAAGCAAGGGGAATGGAGATTCAGTGGATTTAACTCAACATTTCAAAAATTCCCTTGACCATTGACTACACACTGTATTGAGATGGAGGCCCAACTCTTTCTGTTGATATAACCCTTCCATCCATTGTTTGGGGGTACAGTTACAGACGGCATAAATCAACCCTTCCCCACCCTCAAAATTCAAAATTGACATGCGGGGCCTATCCCTGGGGGGGAATATACCCACACACCCAATTTTATTTCATTTTTGAACTCGTAAACATGTGTAGAGCTCAGAATTGTAACCTCTAAGCCTATGCACCAGTGGCAGCGGTTCTTGATTTTTTTTTTGCCGCATGCATGTATTTGGACATGCCTAAATCCAAAACTATGGGGTTTAACCACGCATAGTCATGTGGTTATACCTTGTAGACTCCTCTATCATAGCTGTAGCATCTACCCTATGCATTGGTGAATGCTCTACAGTATATTCTAAGCATTTTGAAGGCTAAAAAAAGTCTAAAAGTCTGAAAAAACAAAACAAAAAAAATCCTGATTTTTTGCCTTGACAATTCAGACATCCAAAAAATCCTGGGTCGGTCTATGCCATATGCAACTGTATCAAAATCTGTCAATTGGGATATGAGTTCCATCGATGGCCCCAACAATGGTGGGAATTCCGTGATGGTGTTTGAACAATTCCTTGATCTTATCCCACTGATTGTTTCTATCCAGTGGCGCATAACTTGAGAGCAGAGGCAGGGGGGCTGTCAGTTTCAGATCTGCTAAAACAAAAAAGAAAAAACATACCCAACTGCCATCCTCAACACTTTGAGGACTGCATTTCCAAAGCATCCCAAGGCTTTGTCAGCTGTCTCCTTGCCTACATTGAAAACATGGCCCATTGTCACATAGCTAACTCCATGACCCAGGCGGTAGAGTCCTATGGCAACTTGGGCTTCTACAGATAGTGGCTCTCCACGTCCCTTCAAGTCTTGCTGGAGTTCGTCCAATAGCCAATTAAAGTTGGCCAGGGACATTTGGAATAGTTTGACAAATTGTGTGGCAGGGATTCAGTTATTGTCCCAAGGCTCCCAGCAATTTGGTCTGTGTAAACCTGCCGATTTGCTACTTCACTTTCTTCCTGTGATTGTTGGACATGAAGCATGTGCCAAAGAGCGACACAAGTAAGAAGTTTGTTGGGGGGGGGGGGGATAGATCCATCTGGTTGGTTCTTGGGGCTTGAGCTTTTCTTGTCAGTTCTTGGATGGCTTGAGAGGCAGGTTGGTGTGTGGGACTCACAGGAAAATGAAATGGTTTATGATTGGACCACAATATTGAGTCAGTTTTGAAAACTGATTGAGCTATTGGTTTGCTAAAAAAAATTCAAAACGTTTTGAAAAAAATCTCAAAATCCTCTTTATGGGTGCGCACAGCCTCAGTTTGATTGAGAGTTGACAGGAAGAAAAGTGCACACCAGCAGATACAGACTCAGAGTTCATCATGTTTCTTATGCCTTCTTTCCGGACTGTCCTGACCATGACAAGGGAGCAACATGATTATGAAACACATCATCAGAATTCATTTTGAGGTTTGACTCCCACACGTCTTTCTGGGTCATTCCTCCCACTGCGGAGTGGGTCCCACATGGTCTGCAATCGACCCCTGCGTGAGTTGTAAGGAAAGATGGCACAGATGACACGGCCTCCTGTTAACTCAGCTCATCGGAGAGAGATCCTCCCCTTGGCCCCCCAAACGAAAGGGACAAGACGACCAATTGACAGTCATCGAGGGAGCTCATGCTTCTTGATGATCAGTTTGTACTGGCCATCGAGGGGCCCATGACAGCTGGTGCAGACCGGACAATGTTTTGCACTACATAGAGGGTGCGGGCGCGAGACGCGTCTGCAAGGCTTTAACAAGTCAAGTGCGTGAACTGTCACGGCGATCGCCTTTGTCGGAGTTTTCCTCCGAGGAGCCCCCGGGGGTTGTGACTAAAGTGAGAGGTTTGGGAGACAGCCAGCGGAAGCACTGGTCTATTGATGGCCGGTTTTGGCTGCTGATTCACCGGTTTTGGCACCACATTATACCACCAGAGAAATGTGAGCCACACCTAACAAGGACTGCATACTTTTCAGGTGAGTATCATTGAAACACTCGGCTCAAACATCGCATGCATTAACCAACATATCGTGGCTACAAGACACTGAACCTTTTTTCTCCTCACAGGAACTCTACGCACTACAAATCCGATGGATGATGTGCGGCCCTGGATAATCAAGAAAATCATAGAAGGACCACTGAAGCGTTTAGAGACTGAGTCGATATTGGATAAACAGACTGCAAGCGTCTTACCACTGGAGCCATTTCGCACACAAAAGATCCAATTCGTTCGATTCCATTCTCCTCATCGGTGGGGATCGCAGGAGCCGGTTTGGGCTGAGGCGTCTGATCGGGACGTGGTTATCCTCGTCTATCTCTCCCCACAGATCATCCAAAAGTTCGAGTCCGATCAGAAGGCTGATAAACGCTCATTCGGCCAACTCGGCTTTCCCACCTTCTCGTTGGGCGGTTGTCGCTGGATTTGGGACGCCCCTCCTAATACCAATCGCAGCGGCGAAAGAATCTTCAAAAACCAACTCTGTCTCAAAGTCGTCTCAGATCTTCCCAAAAAGGTTTTCAAATTCGGCTCTGTCATCAATTGTCCCGCCCCAAGTTTTCGCTCCCTAAAGGATTCCAGGAGCTCTCGTGATCTGTATACGCTTAACTTGGCACTCAAGGAAAATCCGCAATGGAACTTATTGGTTAAACGATTGCGGGTCACTCATGATCCGAGATTGACGGCATCAGGATTGGACACGACTGATGGTTCCCGAGACTTGAGCTCATTAGGTCCGCCACCTTCACACTAGCCCACTCCTACCATCTTACAGTTTTTCTCTTTCTTTTTTTTTTCTCTCTAGAGTGCTAACTTTCCAAAACTTTATTTCCATTTTAGGTAAGCTTAGGATTGATTACCTCGGACGTTTATTCGGCTAATTTACGGCTGTCTTTGGTCCTGCAGTTTACGTGTCGATTCCTCTTCCCAGTGTGTCGAAGCCTCGTGGAGCCCAAGCCCGTAGGAAGGCGCGACAATCCAAACCATATTCGAAACCGACCGAGCTACAATCCAAGGTGAATTGCATGATTTTTTTTTCCTCACAAAAGTGCATTCCTGATTGATAATTTTTTATACGTGCTTGACAAGTCCGCAACAACTCATGGCCCCATGGAAGTGCGGAATAAGGAAATCACAGATTCGGCGACCGATCACCCGAAAAAGAAGCGAAAGTTAATTTCAACTGGCCCGGTTTCAAAGACAAATGTGGCCGATATGTCAAACGTGGATAGCAACCTGGATACAGTGATGGGGCAAGGTGCTTCGAGTGTTAGATCGCCTGATGGAGCTCACGCGGTCAAAGTAGCCGGGAAGGATCTTCTCCGATCAGAACCAAACCTGTCTGATCGATCAGAAGCTGGCCCAGAGAATCACAACCCTAAAATGGCAGATGTTTCCGTGAGAACCGAACCACTTCAGCACCGATCAACATCCACTGATAGAATACCGGAAGAACAAAATGATACCGTAATGCTGAACGTCAGCTTGAAAACCGGACCACTCGAGCACCAATCAAAACCCAATGTGTCTGATAATCTCGAAAATGAGAGACGAGATACCGATGTAGCGAATGATTCTTCGAAGGTTCAATTACTTGGGCAGCCATCAAACTTACGGGTTTCAAGTGGATCCGCAAATCTCGCCGATGATGGGGCTGTTGTAATGACTGGCATTGCTGCTACCCCGTCGATCAATCTGCGAGAAACCTCTACATCTGTTACAGCTAAGAATGATGAGCGGAGAACAAGTGATCCATCCAGGGGCGTTTCATCAGGGGAACAACCTAGATCAGATGCCGCTGCCGCTTCCTCGAGACAAGTTACTCCGACTGAAGCGCGTCGGGAAAATTCCAAATTACAGCTTCTATCATCAGCTTCTGCTCCTCTGGACCAACCCGGAACCTTTTCAATTTATTTCTCGTCCGATGATTACCCCGAACTCGGACATTCTAACATCTCTCCTGGCTGCTCTCGTCCCCGCTCTTCTAAACCGTTTGTTTTGAAAATCAAAGGACGTAGATTATCGAAATACTTTCTTTGAAGATCTGTCATCTGTTCACATCTTGCATACATAAATCATCACAGAACTACCTTTCTTGTTATTGATCACCTCCCATAGAGTTCTTCTTGTAAATCACATCGGTCTTTTTGTTTCATTTACATCAATCTAAAAATTTTCAAGTCATTAGTTTGCATCAATACATCATCATAGAAGCACCTTTTCTTGCCCTTGTTTATCTTCCTTAGAGTTCATGTAAATCAGTCGGATACTTCTTGTTTCACACGCACCAATTCAACCTTTTCAAGTCATTGGGGTATTTGTACTTCGGTTTTGTTTGTCACACCTTCACTGCCAATCAACTCCCCAAGATTACTTTACATCTATGGCATCCTTCCTTGCCTCTTTTTCTTAGTTATATGCCTCACAGAAATCTGTTATAACAACCGCTGTCATATCATTTTTTTTCCTGAAAAACTTGCATGTTTTGAAGGATCATGATGATTCACAAGTCCACCAATCGTGAATTGATGAATAAAAAAATGCGGGGGAACCATTTCTATTGTTTAGACGATCCATCCTCCTGAAGACTTGAATGTTTAGCCAAATTGAAGGCAAAACAAATTCTTTACCACACAGTGCACCTTTAAGATGAAGATAGTAGCAATACAGTTTTTTCCTCTCCGGTTGACCCCTTTTCCTTGTCTTTTCATTGGGAATGCAAAACTGGGTTGGTTGTCTTTGTGAGATCCAACTGCTCTTGGCTAGACAATTCAAGCCTCTCAAATAAAAATTTGGCATTCAGACATGAACAAAGCAACTTTATCTGGCTTCATAGGGTTGGTCGAATAACTTGACGCTAGAACGTGGACACCAAAACGTAAAAGGAAATATATAATTATCGATAATCCTCCCAGTCTACATGTTATCCAGCGGTCAGTTCAATAGCACGAACCATTCAACTTGTGTGGCAAAAGCATTTTTGATTTGAGAAGTTAGGGATTGATGAATTCCCGCAGGAGACGCGATATAAGTTATAACAACTTGACATACAAAATCGCCGGAGGAAAGGACTCTTGACTTCCACCGGGAGACCCATGTGCCATGAAGTAAGACATGGATGAATGTTCCGAAGCAGTCCCGATAACACATTAACATACAATATTGTTGCAGAAGTATCGTGGATTCGCCACCTAGCACGCTTTAGCGTGTTGGCTGTTGATAAGCTAAATGACTTGCAGTGAAGGTTGTGCTGCTTGTGGACCAGTTTGCAACCCAACTTCTCACCACATTATCTTCGTAGAAAAGGACGATCATGAAACTGAGGTCATTCTTGACGACCGTCGCTTGTCCCGAAATGCTGCTCTTTGCCTTAATCACGCTGCTCGAAGTGTTTCTCTGGCGTGGATCTTTGAGCTTCTGGCCACACCAAAGGGCTGCCCTGAAAATCGTGACTTACAGCTTTAACCAAGCACCATACCCACCAAAAAGGAGCCTATCTCCAACTCACTTTCGATAAATCAAACGAAAATCTCTATTTTGCAAGGTGATTACGCTTGACCAGGCCCCTCCCTCAAGACAACGCATCAATTCCGACTGGTTGCAACTGGCGCAGTCTTCAGCAATAACATCCGAATATAAGATTAAAAATACATTCCGCATTCAATTTTGCCGCCGTCAAGACTTGGAATCAGAAAAAGGCCGTCCAAATTTCGGCAGAAAAGAGCTTTTTTCCTTCAACCAAACCTCAGAAAATCCCTCACTCGAAGCAAATTCTCAAAGCGCGGCGGTAAAAATCTCTCTGAGGAGGGCTATACCTTTTTTTTCCCCTTACACTTCTTATCGCCAGACGTTTGGGGATTCGAAGCTGTTTACCTACGTCTGATGAAACAATATTCAGGTTGGGCTATATCAACCGATACTCTGGTTGGTATTATAGTTGGAGTTTTCGCTTTTTTGGTGCTGGCTACGATCACAAAAATGCTTCACGTTCGAAAAGTATTGAAGCCAGGTTCAGCCAATGGTAAACCTGGAGCTTTAATGGGTAATATGGCGAGCAAGATTGGCAGGTTATCCAAATCTCATGATCACAATACCAGTAGGAACTTGTCCACCCACTTGCCAACTTCAGCTCGTGAATATTACTCAGCACCCCAGTCGTATCCTGATCATCGTTCCGAGTATGAGTAAGTCTTGACACTTTCGTATTGATTGTATCAAATTATCAAAGGAATGGGTTTCCCGCTAATCACTGAGTGGACTTCGAGCAGCCAGCCCAATTCTAGTAGTCGTTTCTCGAATTCAACTTCAGCTCCTGAATATATCCCGGCAGCCGAGTCGCGTCGTGGTTCTCATTTAGAGTACTAGTAAGTCTAAACACGTTTTTATTCGTTCCCTCAAGTCATGAAACGAAAAGCAAATGGTTTCCGCTAATCACTTCATGAACTTCGGGTAGCTTTCCCAATTCCCCTAGTCGTTTCTCCACGCCAATTTCAGCTCGTGAATATATCCCAGAAGCCGAGTCACATCCTGATCGTTACCCGGCGTATCAGTAAGTTTGAACACTTTTGCATTCATTGTATCAAATTCAAAAGACATGGGCCTTCGCTAATCACTCAGTACACTTCGAGCAGCCTGCCCAATTTGCGGCCTCTGTCTGCTCCTTCGTCCTTTTCAAATGCCGTATTTCAAGCATTTAGCCGAAGCCAGATGGACATCCCGCAGCGTGCTGAACATAGGGTCAAGCAAAACGTATTGATTATTCAACGACCATGCTGGTCAAGATGGTTTAAAAGGAACCCAAGCCAGGAGTCAGCATTTTACATGGAATCTTCAAACCGGGAGAGTACCTTGCACAACGTGGAACCACCTGATGAACCTCATGGCCGTATCTCCCTGTCAAGGTTCCCAGACCCACCATCCCAGAACTCCAACGCCAATTTTTACAAATCGAATGCCATTTCAACCGCAGGAAACACTCCCCCTTCTGAGATTCTTATGTGTGGCGGCGGAAACTCGAGAGCAAATTCTCTAGTATTTTTCCCGATCATGGACGGTCCCCCCGAGTCTCCTGAAGTTTCCGTACCGTCCTCTGTGTATGGCCAGTCTTTCTCTACGTTACCCACCAGTCCATCCGCTTCATTGAGCCCGAAATCTTTCAATCCCGAGTATCACGAAGAATTGATTTCGCCACAAAGCAGAGCAACAGTAATCTCAAACTCAAACTCTCGCCATCACAGATCTATTCAGGTGGAAATTTCAGTGCTTCCACAAGAGGGTCAATCATTGACCCTCGGCCAAATCTCATTGGTTCCACAAGAATATCAATCAGTGACCCTAGACCATCCCAGTACTGCGATCAAATCGAGAATCAGAACGAGTTGGCAACCATACAACCATTCGATAGTCGAGGAGGTCAGCTAGATACCCTAGGATCAAAAGGATTTCTTAGATTACCATTCGCCTGAATCTGACTTTTCTGCAAACCTACGATAAACCGGCGAGTAGCCTACAATAAAAAAAAAATGGTTGTACATTGTTGAATTGATGATGAAAACCGGCGTCTAGTCAATGTTGCCCAGAAATTTCCTTTTTTTTTTCTCTGGCTCCCCTTTTCTCTTTTTAATTTCATGTTGACTTTCTATAGATCGTTGGAGCAATTATGGGGAAACCCTTTTTTTAAGTAGGAAGTTGGACTTTTGAATTTTTTTCTCTGTTTCTGTTTATATTTACTCAATGTTAAGGTAGCTGGGCCACCGCACTCTCATGCAGGTGGACTCATTTTTTCGCTTCTTCCAAATAAATCAAATGTTGTCAACCAATTCTTCAGCATATCCATTTTTTTTATATTTTTGTTTGAAATTCACTTGTAACATTTTTTTGTCTCCACCAAATCCATTTTATCTATTTCATTTGGTGAATTTTAGTAAGAATTAACTTAAAATATTTTTGTGTTTGTAATTAGTCTTGAATATTTGTGTCAGCATTAATCCAAGCCAAAGTGGTTGCTATCCACACTACCAACAGGTGCTATGTTTATTGAGAAGCAATTTTGTTCAAAAGAAAAAAAAATCAAATTCTGTCCAAGAAAACCCCCGTGTTTCCACCCACTTTTTTGGTATATGTATGTAGGCCCTTATAAAATCAATTGGTGATATTTTTCCTTGTGAAATAGAAGTTGGGAAAAGAGACATTTTGGGTATGCTAAACTGTCCAAAAACCAGTCAGAACTTTGTTTTTGTTTGTGGCCCCAGTCCCAGGAGTTTATTGCCTTTCCCCCCCTTTCTTAGGGGATTTTTGTCCAATCATACCCATGAACAAGGAATTGATTGACCCAAAAAAGCAGTACTGCCAAGGGGCCCCCAGGTATGAATTTTGTTAAATTCTGGACATTTTTTAAGACTCTTTTATGTATTAGGGGGCTTGTGCCCTCATACTGAAAGAAGAAAACTCAAGATTTTACAGCATCCCCTGTTATTCTGGCCTTTCAGATTGGTATGATATTGATTGCATTGGCCTGATCGATTCTTGTATTTGTAGTTTGGAGTTTGTGTACTTCATGTTTCTGGCCTTAAGATTAATATTAAGGAATTGCTTGCAGTCCACTGACACTGGCTTTGAATATCTGTATACACACAGCCACCATCTGGCTTTGTGGGGTTTCTTCACCGGAGTTCACCGGCAGTAAAGTTTGGCAGAAGTGATCCGGAATTCCAGTTGATTGGCTATAAGAGTTCGTGGTTCACATGAAGCTGTGCACTCAACAAGGAAGAAAAGGAACGTCGAAGATCTTACAACCAAGCACCCTTGGTCTATGCTTCGAAATGTTTTCCTCTTATCAGCAGCACCTTGACTTGTATATAAAAAGCACTACTTGGGATATTTGTGAGCTGCTTATAAAAAAGACATCAAAGGAAAATCGGCAGACTTATTCAATATTCCAGCCCTCCCATTTCAGTGCCACCCTTTCCCACAATCTGTAGACTTGCTCAAGTTTATATCAATCATGCCATCCTACAAGCTCACTTACTTCAACATGAAGGTCCGTCGCGATAAATTGTAACCCCTTGACAAACCAACTTCCAGTGCTTCTATCTGGACATGACTGCTTGATTCAGTTTGCAGTTTTGCCTAGTACATTAGCGGGGTTCACGATAGCTTCTCGCGCGAAGCTATCTTAGTTCTCGCGAGAAGCCGCAGCAGTGCTGCGCTATTAAAATTTAGTGCTAAAATTCCTCACGAGATTTCTCGTGCGAGAAGTCATCCAACGCCCCCCCCATTGGAAACATTCTCGGGTCTACGATCTCATCCGATGCGCCGACCAAGCGAACGCCAGCAAGTCATCAAGGACCTCTTTCTGATACTGGTTTTTCTTGACGTTGAAGACACCGACAGGCACCTCGATTCAGTTCTCAAGATCCCCTCCCCCCCAACACTCGGGTCGATACTGTTCCCTCAAAACTCCACCCTACAGATTGTTTCAGAATTACTACTCAGCGATCAGGCCTGGTTTGAAGCTCTTCTGGAGGCCGTTCTATCCTGCCGCTACTTGAATGATCGTCAAGTTCCAACATCCTATGGCGAATTCAACTTAGATCAACTGATGAACATGCGTGATAGCGATTTCAAGCAATCAATTCGAACGACAAAAGAAGGCTTTATATGGCTTATCAACCAGGTGTCGCATCACAGTGTTTTCCACAGTCAGAGCTTCCGACCCCAGCTTCCCATCCCTCACCAAATGGCGTTAACCCTGGAGCGATTAGGATCAAATGGGAACGGGGCATCTGTGGGAAGATTCGCGCGAAACCTCTCTGTTGGGCGTGGTACAGTTATAAAAGCTAGTCGACGGGTGATTCAAGCGATCAACAGCCTCTCTGAAAAGTATGTTGTCTGGCCTGATTCAACTCGAAGAGCCGAAATATCACAGGTGATGAAGAACGAAGGATTGAGCGGATGTGTTGGTTTTGTTGATGGAACCACAATCCCTCTTCACCAGCGGCCTGGACTTGATGGCGAGGTTTACTTTGATCGGAAGAAGCGTTATTCTATCAATGCACAGATCGTCTGCGATTGCGACAAGTTTATCACCGCTTTTACGACCGGATGGCCTGGATCCTGTGGCGACAGCTGGGTTTTTCAGAATTCAAAAATTGAATCTGAACCAGATAAGTATTTCGATCGAGGTAAGTTGGATGGATTGCAGGATTTCCGACAAGATTTAAGTCATTCAAACTGATGTTTGTTCATCTGGGTGGGGAATTTTTAGGACAGTACCTGATAGCCGATTCAGCGTATGGTCTGTCGCTAACATGTATACCAGCATACAAGTCACCGGCTTCAAAGAAACCCGATAACACAGACTTCAACTACTGCATTGCAAAGTCCCGAGTACGAAATGAACACACGATCGGCATACTCAAAGGACGGTGGGCATCTCTTCATGAGCTGCGCTTGCATCTCGACAAAAAGAAACACATGCTGGAAATTGTGCAATGGGTGAATTGTTGTATCACTTTACATAACATGCTAGCTCAGTTGGGTGACTCATGGGATGAGCTAGGTGGTCCAACCGATGATTCTGATAACGATGAAGAAACATCTTCGGCAGCCCGACGACAAACCCAAACCAAACGGAGTAAACGACGTGCGGCTGAAACTTTCCGTGCCGAAGTGCAATCAAAATGCCTCGAGTTTCATCGCCAAGCGGGCACTTTACCCAGGCCTCAGAAATGAAACTTTCTATAAGTGTATTGTTTCATTCAAGTTGAATAGTATTCGTGACTTTGTAATGCTTTTAGCTTAGTTTTCTTGACATTGTAATTCTTTTACCTACACTTTGAGGAACTTGATGGTGGCATTGATTATTCACAGAGAAGGAAAATTTCTTCTTTTTATTTTGAAATACACAGTTTTTCATTTGAACCAAATGGAAGGTTTAGGTCAACGGAATGACAAGGAAAAAAACCCGGCGAGTGGTCAAGAAAGAAAAAAAATATAGAGATGAGGAACCAAAAATTTCTTGTTTTTATTTTCAAATACACAGTCTTTTATTTGAACAAAATAGAAGGTTTAGTTCCACGGAATGACAAGGAAAAAAAGCTGCGAGTGGTAAAGAAAGGAAAAAAATTTAGAGATGAGGAACAAAGATATGTGTTTAAATCAATTAGCAAACAAAAAAACCAGAGATAACAGGTGAAAAAAGCGAGATGATTGAAGTTCTTCAAATGAGCCTCATGATGCGCTCAATCTCATCAGTGGATTTGCCTTCAGCCATCATTTGCTGGATTAATCCCAGACGCTGTGACCGGTCCTGACGCTCGTAATTAAACTTTTCTTTCTCCCATTCCAATCGATCGTTGTCCCGCTTGACCTCCCGAAAATGTCGTCGATCATCCAGGCTAACCTTGCGTTCCCATCTCACACCCTCCCTCCTTGCAATCCGATCCTCCCGGGCTTCCTCTTGTTGAATGCTCCGTTGGAAGTTGATTTGATCCTCTTGAGACTTCAGGCGATATTTTTCTTTTTCCCAAGCCAATTGTTGATCCACTTGACGTTCGAACTGAGCCAGCTTAGTATCTGTCGTTTTTTCAAATGCTCCAGCAAGTGACGACTTCTGGGCATTTGACTGAGAAGGTCTGTTGGATGCGGCGGGCTTGTTACTAGGCGACCGTATGTTTGGATGTCGGCTTGATCCTCGGTGACCTCGTTTACGGTTCGAAGCGGCTTGAGATGCAGAGGAATCTGAGGGCATTGGTGAGTGCCCCAGTGCACTGCCATTCTCAACCTCATTGTCCTCGCTGGTTTGCCTCGACGGCCGTTCGTTTTCCGCAGTTAGATCAACATTGATTGCATCGTCGATGCAATCTTCCACACGGTCCTCGCCGAAGTCGAACAAATTGTCGATGTTTCTGGTTGAACCGTTGTGATTCGAGTCGTTTGATGATGATTGGCTTTGCGAAATTCCATTCAGATCGGCAACCGAAGGGAGGTCCCTCTCTAAGTTATTCAATGATATTTTGTCGCCCGCTGGAGGAGTTTGAGACCATCCGGAATAAAATATTTCGGGTGAACTCGGAGGCGTATCAGCATAGAGGTTCGTGCCGTGGACAGAGTCATACTGCATGCATGGAGTGACATTTGGCTTACTCCCAAATATCGCATCCATGCGCTCGTAGCATGGACATTTCTCCTCCAGCACTTCTTCAAGAGTCTTCCGTCCACTGACCTCTTCAATGCCAGCACCAGTATGCTCGCTGAACTGCTTTGCCTGCGCGAATTTCTTTCTATAGCGATCCAAGCGATGTCGAAGCTGGGTTCCAGTCAAAGTGTATCGCTTATTGCAGTTGTTATTCATATAAATCGCAAAGATGTCGTAGGCAGCCGTCTTACTGAGTGCTTGGGGACCCACTTCAGTTTGATCGCCACTTCCATATAGCCGGCGATAATTGTCCGGTTCTTCAAGGTAAGAACAGATCAGTTCATAATCCTCTAGCGTGAAGGCCCCATTGGGGTCACTGGTGGTGGAAGATTGAGATCGACCAGTGCCAGTCGATTGCGAACGAGTCCCGCGACTTTGAGTTCGAGCGGATTTCTTCTTCAGGAGTTTCATCTTCTCTTTTTCAGCTTTCGCTCTCTCCTTCTCGGCCTGTTTCGCTTGCTTCTTAATCGCCAATTCCGCACAATACGCTTCCATTTCCTTTTTTGTTCTTCTTCGTTTCACTCCTACAGTCTGTGGGATTTGAGGAGATTGGGGACAATCGGAACCAGTCGCATCTTGAGGCACCGGTGTGGGTGGTGTTTCAGTATCGGATGAGGGCATCGCTATGGATGGGTCCAGATTCATCTGGTAAAGAAAATCTTCAGATTACAGTGGCGCGCGGCATTGTACTGTATAGGTTTGGGGATGTCCGAATGGTTGGGACCCAAAATTTGGAAAAATCTGAGTTTTTTTATCAATTTCTGGGGGGTTGAGACGTCAATCTGACATCCACGATGCTGTAATCAGTCCACCCGATGCACTTTTGACCATCTACATAGGCTTTAAGCTTATGTGTATGGGCTTAGGCTGACATATAGCCATATAAGTATGGGTTTATAGTGTCAGCCTATCCCATACTTATGTACTTAGGCCCCCATATTTGGCCTGTGACCGAATGGTCCGGTGAAAAAAAAAATTATTTATTTTTTGGCTGGACCAAATTGGTCGCCGTTTTAGATTTGGAATCTACACACCTTGTAGACTCCAAATATGTATTCTTTACAGGTGCTGGACCCCCGTCGGGGGTGAGGATTAACCCCGCGCGACCTACTCAACATTTGCGGGTGGCCTTGTACAGTACAATGCCGCGCGCAACTGTAGGTGTCTCTGCTAAGAAAAAGAAAAAGACTTACCTCGGTCATTTTTATTTTTGAGTGGAGTTGTGTGTGTTGATGTCTAAAGATGGAGGTGACGACTTGTGGTGATGTGGCGCTCGAGAAGAAGATATCTTGGCTTAAATTTTTACAAGCTGTCTAGGTTGCAAGAAGGTCGCGGCTTCTTGCCGCATCATTATTTTAGCTTAAAATTTTCTGTAAGCATGGCGCGAGCAAGAAAAAAAATTAGGGGGTTTGAGAAGCGAAAAACGCTATCGTGAACCCCGCTATTATGACCCCGTTCATCTAATTAGCCGTAAATTTTATTTTGCTTTTCTTCCAGGGAGGTAGGGGCGGCAGCATCCGAATGGCGTTCCACTATGCTGACATCCCGTTCATCGACGAAAGATTGTCGTCTGAGGAGTTTGCCAAGATCAAGGAGACTCTCCCGTTTGGACAGGTGCCCATCCTCACGGTCGACGAGAAGCTAGTGATTCCACACGAAACTGCAATCTTGAAGTACGTCGGCCGTTTGGCGGGCCTCTACCCAGATGATCTCCAAGAAGTTGTCAAGGTCGACGCCGCAATGTGTATTGTTGATGGTATGTTCCTCTAGTTAACCATGATGAAGTAGACTGGGTCTTCAATTTACTTTTATTAAATACTACCAGTTTATTCATGAGAGCCGAAACTCACCCGTTTTTCCATCTGGACCATGTAGACTTGTCCGCGGCCGTGGTTGCATGTTGGGCACCCGAGCATCCCGGGAAAGAGATGGTGACGAAGATCTGGATCGAGGAACGTATCCCCAAGTTATTTGGTTACATCGACCGATATCTCGCCAACGCAGGAACTACTTTCAGTGCTGGCAACAGCTTGACTGTGGCCGATTTGAGGCTTTACTGGGCAATCACCTACTTCAAATCAGGAAGGCTTCAGAAATTACCCATCGACCTCATCGACAATTATCCCAGCATCATTCAACTCTATCAGGCCATCCAGAGCCATGAAAGACTTGCTAGCTTCATTAAGGCCGAATCTCAATTAGTTGATACTCACTAATCTGCTCAGGCAAATCTCACTATGTGGTTTTCAATAATTTACATCACATGTTGAACAAAAAAGCAATAAAATCTTTACTTGCTACTCTTAAGTCTTCAAATGCAAACATATAAATGAGATTATATGGATATCATGAAGCTCCAAATTGTCTGGAAACCAGTCTGAAATGTTGGTCTTCCATACACTCATTTTGTTTTTTGGGGGCCTGGTCTCCTTACACTCATTTTGTTTTTTCGGGGCCTGGTCTCCTTACATTTATTTTGTTTTTTGGGGGCCTGGTCTCCTTGATAATATATTCTGAGGACGACCCAAGTACTCAGAAGAAGTGATAAGTTAGGGCCTGACCATGAAGTTGAGCACATTGGTTAGTGAGTCTTAGTTGACCAAGATTGGACATCAAAATAGAACAAGTTTTGCAATGGTGGTTGATGTCAATGCCAAGTACAGTCAAACCTCTCTAACCACATACCCCTTGGTTGAAAGAATTTGTTATGTGGTTTGGCAGGTTATGTGGTTACAAGGGTAGGCTAAGGGCAAAAATGAGAATTTGGTGGACTCAAATGAGTATGTAGTATGGGGGTTTATGCCATTAGACAGGTATGCAGTTAGACAGGTTTGACTGTATTTAGGTGTTGAGGATTTCATTGAATTTGATGCTTGTCATTGTGTATCCAATTTCCATCCGGACTGTATCATATTTATCAACCCAAGCAGCAAGAAAAAATCAAGACAACTAGATGAAAACAAATTATCTTGAATACTGCCAGTAGCCACTATGGGGGGGGGGCAAGTATGTGGTTGATTTATGCTCAGAAAGTCGTGCAATTTCTGTGTCCAACTCAAGCATATCTTGCTCAACCAATTCATCTTTCCCTATGTCAATCTCAACCAAGGGGTAACTGATGAAATTGGCAAAAAATCTGAGTCCCCTCGCTTGTCTGATCTCCAATAAAACGTAAGATAGATCAAAATCAACAATTGTACAACTTTTGATGACATCCTTTTGTATTGCATGTATACTTGATCGTCCTTTAAAAATTGGTTTCTGCTTCCTGACTGATAGATAATTCCTTGGCACTTCAGTCCTGTTGTAACCCAGTTACTGGGTTACCCTCAGACTCACTAGACACTGACTTTAGAGCTGCTGTGTCCGGTTTTGTTCTAATGAATTATCATCATTATCCACAAAACCACAAGTCTAAGCATTTTTTTTTTCTTTTTTCATGTTTACTATGAAGGCTTTTCAGAGAAGAACAAATATGTATGAGACTTATGTAAGTTTACTATTTTTGAAAGCATCCAAAACTGTGCAGCATACATGTTCCATAGCTTTCCTTTTCCCTTCTGGTTTTGGGAAAATCTCCTTCAAAAAAAAGAAAACTGAATACTTTCCGGGTTATCTGACCTGAAGGCCGGACTCACTGCGGTTGTTCAAAGCACCACATAAACAAATATTACGGAACCCAAGAATAAAAAGCACAGACCACAAGTAGCAAAAAAAAAGACAAATGCAGATGCGACAGTTTGATAATGACGTCGAGTATAATCAACTCACATACATAGTCACATCGAAGTCACGGAGTATAAAGCAAGAAAGAAAGATATAAAAATACAACAGTTATGTATGGGGGGGGGGAGATTTCCTCATTTGTTTGCAGACTAAAATCGACAATTACATGTTATCCGGGCTCCAAAGACAGTAGCTAAGAATAAGTCATGTGAAAAAACAGAACCAAGAGAATAGTGGGTTTATGTTACTAATTTGATGTATTTTGGAATACATGGAGTGTATTGATCGCGAGTCAGAAAAGTCCAAGTTGTGAGGCCTAAGAATGTAGCTCAGAGATCCTGAAGATATCGCCCATCGAAGGGAAAAAGACAGGATAAAGGAGCTTATCGAAGCTCCTCCAAAGTCATTTTGCCCTGCATTTTGATCGCACCGAGACTAACTTCGCCAACATTGGTGTTGTTACTGTTTTTGGTGTTATCAACTTGTGGTTTGTGGATGACCATCAGCTTCTCTTTCCGCAAGTCATCCTTCTTCCGCAAAACCTTCTGATGATGAAGATTGTTGCTGTTGATAGGCAACCGACTAAATCTGGGTTGATTGATTTCTTGCGTCGGTTCGGCGGGGATGTCTTTCACGAAATCTGGGGGAGTTGCGAAATGGTTCGACGGTTGATGTTTGCCTTTAGCTCGTGTGGTGATCTTAGGTGTCGGTCGTATCGCTGCTGCTTCTTTCTCGATCTTGGATCCTGTTTCACGAGGCTCCGGTGGGGCGTCAAAGTTTTTGATCACTTCACTCAAGGGCGCTCGGGTCACGCGTGCGATTCCCATTCCATTATGGATCGTCGACGCTTGCGTGGTTGCGATTGCAGGTGTAGGATGCGAAACCGACTGATAAGCAAACAACTCCTCTTTGAGAGATTTGATTTCCGAGTTGGCCGTCCACAGTTGGTTTTCCAGTTTGGCGGTGTTCTACAACCCAATTTCAATCGTGCAAACAAACAGCGGAAAGACCGAGTGTCAGTGGAAAAACTACCGATCCAACCGCTTTGCACACATAAAAAAGTGCCTTACCTCTCTTTCTTCTTTAATTTCTCTTCGCATGCGGTCCAAAATCTTGACTTTTTGAGCCGGGTTTCGTTGGCTGACAAGTTCGGTATTAAGCTTCTCGACTTTGGCAGCTTCGGCGGCATTCAGGTTGGCCTGTCTCATGATCAAGTCGTTGATCTTCCGCAGCTGCTCATTTTCGCGCTCGACTTCCTCGAGTTGTGCGCTCAGGTTTTGTGCGCTATTTGGTGAAAAAAAAACCATAGGAATTCAATTGTCGGTAAGATATCGATGGACAGGATTTGCTCAGAGGTTGAAAAATGGACTCACTGTTCGATTTCTCCGCGTAAGGCTGCTTCCGCTTGTCTGGTCAACAAGAGCTCAGCAGACAACTTAGTACGCCTTCCGTTCTCTTCTCTGAGCTCTTTCTCGAGTTTCTTGATGCTCGATTGCAGTTCGGATTGCTTCAGTTGCCATGCTTCGGCGGCGAGGGAATGGGTCTCCTGTGAGCGTTGGATTTGCAGGTCCGTTTCGAGGGCCTGTGCTTCTAGCGCTTGAATCGAATTGGTCAACTCGCTGATTTTCGAGTCGCACTTTTCCAAATCCAGCCGCGATTTTTCTAGCTCTTGACACTTAGAGAGACAGACCCCTGATAAATCGCTGTAGGCATCAGATGAACTGACGAGGGCCTTTTCTAGGGACGAGCAGACCAGTTGAGCGTCGAGCAGTTCGGTTTGGATTTGAGACGCTCTTCGATGAGCAAGTTGACATTCGATCTCTTTTTCGCACAATTGCTGGTCCGAAAGTTGTTGACTACATTTCGAATCTCTCCGCAATTCATGTATACTTTGTTTCAGTTCGTCACGTTCTGATTGAAGATCCATTTCAATATCGATGAGTTGTTGCATCTGCATGTCGTTTGTTTCTAGCAAGTTGTCAAACACTTCGTAGAGCAGATCCTCTCGGGTACCGGCTTGTTGAACTAGTGAGACTAGTTCGGCTACTTGAGAGGCACGTCCAGCTAAGATTTTGCTGGTGTGAACATCGTCTAGACGAGACAAGCTTTTGGTCAGCTGAAGGGCTCGTTGGCTGCTATGACGCTCTTCGAGCACTTTCTGCAAGTAGTTTGTTAACCCCTGATGGGATTTCTGGACCGTTGTTTGAAGCGAATGCTCGGCATCTTCATACGATGCCTGCAATCGTTCGAAGTCGCCTTGAATGTTTTGCTTTTCGGTCATATATTGTGAAGCACGCGTTTCGGCCGACCGGAGTTCCGTTTTAAGGCTAGATATTTCTTGCTCTCTCCGCTTCTTGCTCTTATCGTGTTCGGTCTCGAGTTCGATAACTTTGGCATGAAGACTGGCGACCCCATGGAGCTGTTTTTTGAGTCGGCTAACTTCTGATCTCAGACTCTCGTTATCATGTTCTGATTTCTTTAGAGCGTTTCTGATTTCCTTGGTAGTTTGTTCGGACTTTTGCAGGGTTTCAGTTAAATGAGTGATATCTGATTCGCGCTCCGACAATTTAGTTTCAAGTCTTAGGAGTTCCTTGTGATGTTTTGATGGTGTCGCGAGAGTAGATAATGCTCGCGGTCGGGGCCTCGAGCCATGAATATTATCGTAATGCTGCTGATCAGGATTGTAGAGGCCAAAGGTATCTGCAAAACCATCAAGATAAGTTTTCGTGCTTGGTTCCAAGTAGGAAAAAACTGACCTGGACCAGGGTCTGATTCCTTGTTTCGAGGAGCTTTGAAGATCTCTAATGGACCTTTCCTCCATGGGTCTTGCGATGGATCATGGAGCAACGGATTATAACGACCTGGACTTGGGACTTCAGAGGCTGAAGAAATGAATGTTCAGTCAGTGATCGGCTTGCGCAGATAGTCAATAGAAGTAAATGAGAATTCCTAACCTTTCTGTGGCGGGAAGCGTTGAGATTTTGGGAATAGCGTCATTTTAGACGCGTAGGAAGACGACTGATATTTTGGATGGACTTTGTGGGGTATTTGGTTGACTTTTCGGAGGTTTTTCGGCTGGAAGACTGGGATGGGATGACTGTCGACCAGAGGTTGCTTGTGCAGGTGGTGGATTTGGGGAACGGAAGGAGATGGTTGACAACACCGATGGGATTCTGATGTGTATGTATGCGTATAGTGTGAGACTTGAAGGTTTGGGGCCCAAACGCGTCGACAGGGTGTACATGCTCGGGAATACTCAAATGACACTCGTCTGCGATTTGTTCCCCATGAAGCACATCTTTCTCAAGTAGCTTTTTCTAAAGCAACCGCACAAAAATTGAATTTTTCAGAATTTGCCTAACTCAGATTATCATTTTATCAAAATTGAACATCACCAGAAGCCAGTCATCCGCATAAAAGTGAAGACTTTCAATTTTGGATCTCTTCGCTGTGTGTCAAAATTTGTGTGGAAGGAAAAAAAATGCACATTTTTCATACTTGAATCCCACGATACTGGCCCTTATTTTCATCTGATGGAAATCATGTTGGGATTTTATTTTTAGATAGGAAGTAAACTCAATGAGAAAAAGAAGAAAACAATTGACAAAACAAAGCTCTATCAAGTTGCTTTTTGAGGTCTTTTTTCTTCCTCATTTAGCGTGAAGCAAGTCCGATGGAGTCAATACTATACATACACATCATATTCTGGGGAAGATGCTTGGAACTAGAAGAAAAATTACACCACACAGAGTTATTTTGGAAGTAATGTAAAGTGAATTATTTATTGGTGGCTACGTAGGAAAAGCTTGGCTGTTGACACAGCAGTGGTGATTACAGCATTCAGTTCTGCACCATAGAAATGAGCAACATTGCCATTTGGGGCATCTCCGCTAACAACTGATGTTCCACAACAAAGTGACTAGTCAGAAAATCATGTACTTCATGGATGTAAATAAAAGGGTATAAAAAAATTGCACATACCATAACCAATGTTTCGCATGGATCCATCATTTGCAATAATTGGTGATCCAGAAGAACCAAACCAAAGTGAAGCCAAAACAAGGAAGTGTTTTTGTGATGCATGTACTTCTTTAATGTTCCCAAACAAGACCATTCTGTATTCTGATTTCAAGCAAAGACGAGCTGCTTCAAGAGAGATAAATTTGTTAAACTCTGAGATTTGATAAGGTTTGAAGTGTTGAAGTCGCTATTCTGTGGGAATGGTGTTATAACCAATTGCATAGACCAGCGGCTTATGGTCAAAGGCTGAGATGTCATTTGGAGGTAGTGCTGGAGGACGGGGTGTTGTCAACAGTGCAACAGATACGAGACTTGTATTTGTATTGGATTGTATTGTATTTATTTTGAGCCTGATACCGGCATCAGTATTTCCTTGGTTGGTGAAAAAATATATTGTATCGGATTTGGATTTACAAATGAAAAAAAAATCATCTTCATTTTTTCGTTTTTTCTTCAATACGGCCAAATATCTTATGTATCAAATACGTTTTTGGTGGGATCAGTAATCTGAGACAATACAATTCAAATTCTGAGACGATTGCACTGTTGGTGTTGTCCAACTTGTAACCGCCATTACAATGATGTCCACTAGTGGGTCAATGTGTATCACGGTTGCCGGACAAGCATATGAAGATAGACCCTCTACCGCAACAAGGGAGAGTGGTCAGAACACATTTGAGCATTTCAATTGTATGTATAATCTTCCAAAATTTTGCTGACCAGCTGTAACTTCTTGACCACCAAAATCAATAGTGACCAAGTCTCCAAGGTGCCAAGTGTCAACCTGATGATTGCAAGAAATCACAATATCAAAATTTTCATAAATTCCAATAAACCGTGCAGTTTCCACCCAACATCCCTACTTACACATTGGACCAACAGATCTTGCTAAACTGCAAATTTTGGCAATTAGGTTTGGCTAGAATTGGTGAAGGGAGGGAATGAAAGTTTGGAAGACAAGTGAACAAGGATATCACATGATGTGTGTGGAAAAACACGGCGAAAGGGGTTGTATTGGTTACAACCCCCCGCAATAACATTGCCCCAAGGCAGCCAATATAACATCGGTCTCCTTGAACAATTTTATATTGGCCAGGCCCATCAATACATTTTTCCTTTGTTCTAATGTATTGGTAGGCTCAACCAATACAAAATCGGTCAATCAGACTGATCTTATATCAGTTGCCTCCCGGCAACCTTATTGTGGGGGTTGTAACCAATACAACCCCTTTCAAAGTGAAAGTATGAAAGCTTCTCACTTGAGATAGAAATGGAAGCATTGCTACTTGGTCTGGTGGCAGATATTCTTATGAAGCTGCCTTGTGCCAAGGACAGAACTCAATGCCTTGACTACCCGCCTGTATACACTTCTCCAAAGGCCTGGTGTGAGCCATACTACACCACCAAAGTGTATTGCTGTTTTTGACACAGACAGCACTCTTGTTGCGTTCAGGCCTCCTGTTTGACCGTTCCTTGTTGGATTCAGGACTCTGGTTCCTGGTTATTAAACTTGTGGGTCACTCATTTTGTGACTTACAAGCTGTGAGATTCCAAAGGACTAAGCAATTTGATTCATCAGACCCTTGTTAATACAAACAGATAAAGGTAGTTAGAGCAACTCCACCACGGGCCGTAAATTGGGGCTGTAGGTGAAATTTACAGACTCAACACGACCCACCAATAGCGGGGTTCACGATAGCGTTTTTCGCTTCTCAAACCCCCTAAATTTTTTTCTTGCTCGCGCCATGCTTACATAAAATTTTAAGCTAAAATAATGATGTGGCAAGAAGCCGCGACCTTCTTGCAACCTACACAGCTTGTAAAAATTTAAGCCCAGATATCTTCTTCTCGAGCGCCACGTCACCACAAGTCGTCACCTCCATCTTTAGACATCAACACACACAACTCCACTCAAAAATAAAAATGAGCGAGGTAAGTCTTTTTCTTTTTCTTAGCAGAGACACCTAATCTGAAGATTTTCTTGTCCAGATGAATCTGGACCCATCCATAGCGATGCCCTCATCCAATACTGAAACACCACCCACACCGGTGCCTCAAGATGCGACTGGTTCCGATTGTCCCCAATCTCCTCAAATCCCACAGACTGTAGGAGTGAAACAAAGAAGAACAAAAAAGGAAATGGAAGCGTATCGGGCGGAATTGGCGATTAAGAAGCAAGCGAAACAGGCCGAGAAGGAGAGAGCGAAAGCTGAAAAAGAGAAGATGAAACTCCTGAAGAAGAAATCCGCTCGATCTCAAAGTCGCGGGACTCGTTCGCAATCGACTGGCACTGGTCGATCTCAATCTTCCACCACCAGTGACCCCAATGGGGCCTTCACGCTAGAGGATTATGAACTGATCTGTTCTTACCTTGAAGAACCGGACAATTATCGCCGGCTATATGGAAGTGGCAATCAAACCGAAGTGGGTCCCCAAGCACTCAGTAAGACAGCTGCCTACGACATCTTTGCGATTTATATGAATAATAACTGCAATAAGCGATACACTTTGACTGGAACCCAGCTTCGACATCGCTTGGATCGCTATAGAAAGAAATTTGCGCAGGCAAAGCAGTTCAGCGAGCATACTGGTGCTGGCATTGAAGAGGTCAGTGGACGGAAGACTCTTGAAGAAGTGCTGGAGGAGAAATGCCCTTGCTACGAGCGCATGGATGCGATATTTGGGAGTAAGCCAAATGTCACTCCATGCATGCAGTATGACTCTGTCCACGGCACGAACCTCTATGCTGATACGCCTCCGAGTTCACCCAAAATCTTTTATTCCGGATGGTCTCAAACTCCTCCAGCTGGCGACCAAATATCAATGAATAACTTAGAGAGGGACCTCCCTTCGGTTGCGGATCTGACTGGAATTTCGCAAAGCCAATCATCATCAAACGACTCAAATGACAACGTCTCAACAAGAAACATCGACAATTTGGTCGACTTGGGCGAGGACCGTGTGGAAGATTGCATTGACGATGCAATCAATGTTGATCTTACTGCGGAAAACAAACGGCCGTCGAGTCAAACCAGCGAGGACATTGATGTTGATTCCTCGGCATCTCAAGCCACTTCGAACCGTAAACGAGGTCATCGAGGATCAAGCCGACATCCAAACATACGGTCGCCTAGTAATGAGCCCGCCGCATCCAACCAACCTTCTCAGTCAAATGCCCAGAAGTCATCACTTGCTGGAGCATTTGAAAAAACAACAGATACTAAGCTCGCTCAGTTTGAACGTCAAGTCGATCGACAATTGGCTTGGGAAAAAGAAAAATATCGTCTGAAATCTCAAGAGGATCAAATCAACTTCCAACGGAGCATTCAACAAGAGGAAGCCCGGGAGGAACGCATTGCGAGAAGGGAGGGTGTGAGATGGGAACGCGAGGTTAGCCTCGATGATCGACGTCATTTTTGGGAGCTCAAGCGGGACAACGATCGATTGGAATGGGAGAAAGAAAAGTTTAATTACGAGCGTCAGGACCGGTCACAGCGTCTGGGATTAATCCAGCAAATGATGGCTGAAGGGAAATCAACTCATGATGAGATTGAGCGCATCATGAGGCTCATTTGAAGAACATCAATCATCTCGCTTTTCTCACCTGTTATCTCTGTTTTTTTGGTTTGCTATTTGATTTAAACACATATCTGTGTTCCTCATCTCTATTTTTTTCCCTTTCTTTACCACTCGCAGCTTTTTTTCCTTCTCATTCCGTTGAACTAAAGCTTCTATTTGGTTCAAATGAATAACTGTGTATTTGAAAATAAAAACAAGAAATTTTTTGTTCCTCATTTTTTTTTTTCTTGGCCACTTGCTGGTTTTTTTGCCTTGTCATTCCGTTGAACTAAACCTTCTATTTGGTTCAAATGAAAAACTGTGTATTTGAAAATCAAGAGAAATTTGTCTTCTCCTGTGAATAATCAATGCCACCATAAAGTTGTACCCCTCAAAGTGTAGGTAAAAGAATTACAATGTCAAGAAAACTAAGCCAAAAGCATTACAATATCACAAATACTATTCAACTTTAATGAATCAATACTCATATACAAAGCGTCATTTCTGAGGCCGGGGTAAAGTGCCCGCTTGGCGATGAAACTCGAGGCATCTTGATTGCACTTCGGCTCGGAAAGTTTCAGCAGCACGTCGTTTACTCCGTTTGGTTTGGGTTTGTCGTCCGGCTGCCGAAGCTGTTTCTTCATCGTTATCAGAATCATCGGTTGGACCACCTAGCTCATCCCATGCGTCACCCAACTGAGCTAGCATGTTATGTAAAGTGATACAACAATTCACCCATCGCACAATTTCCAGCATGTGTTTCTTTTTGTCGAGATGCAAGCGCAGCTCATGAAGAGATGCCCACCGTCCTTTGAGTATGCCAATCGTGTGTTCATTTCGTACTCGGGACTTTGCAATGCAGTAGTTGAAGTCTGTGTTATCGGGTTTCTTTGAAGCCGGTGACTTGTATGCTGGTATACATGTTAGCGACAGACCATACGCTGAATCGGCTATCAGGTACTGTCCTAAAAGTTACCCGCCCAGATGAACAAACATCAGTTTGAATGACTTAAATCTTGTCAGAAATCCTGCAATCCATCCAACTTACCTCGATCGAAATACTTATCTGGTTCTGATTCAATTTTTGAATTCTGAAAAACCCAGCTGTCGCCACAGGATCCAGGCCATCCGGTCGTAAAAGCGGTGATAAACTTGTCGCAATCGCAGACTATCTGTGCATTGATAGAATAACGCTTCTTCCGATCAAAGTAAACCTCGCCATCAAGTCCAGGCCGCTGGTGAAGAGGAATTGTGGTTCCATCAACAAAACCGATACATCCGCTCAATCCTTCGTTCTTCATCACCTGTGATATTTTGGCTCTTCGAGTCGAATCAGGCCAGACAACATACTTTTCAGAGAGGCTGTTGATCGCTTGAATCACCCGTCGACTAGCTTTTATAACTGTACCATGCCCAACAGAGAGGTTTCGCGCAAATCTTCCCACAGATGCCCCGTTCCCATTTGATCCTAATCGCTCCAGGGTTAACGCCATTTGGTGAGGGATGGGAAGCTGGGGTCGGAAGCTCTGACCGTGGAAAACAGTGTGATGCGACACCTGGTTGATAAGCCATATGAAGCCTTCTTTTGTCGTTCGAATTGATTGCTTGAAATCGCTATCACGCATGTTCATCAGTTGATCTAAGTTGAATTCGCCATAGGATGTTGGAACTTGACGATCATTCAAGTAGCGGCAGGATAGAACGGCCTCCAGAAGAGCTTCAAACCAGGCCTGATCGCTGAGTAGTAATTCTGAAACAATCTGTAGGGTGGAGTTTTGAGGGAACAGTATCGACCCGAGTGTTGGGGGGGAGGGGATCTTGAGAACTGAATCGAGGTGCCTGTCGGTGTCTTCAACGTCAAGAAAAACCAGTATCAGAAAGAGGTCCTTGATGACTTGCTGGCGTTCGCTTGGTCGGCGCATCGGATGAGATCGTAGACCCGAGAATGTTTCCAATGGGGGGGGCGTTGGATGACTTCTCGCACGAGAAATCTCGTGAGGAATTTTAGCACTAAATTTTAATAGCGCAGCACTGCTGCGGCTTCTCGCGAGAAGCTATCGTGAACCCCGCTAATATCTACGGCAGTCCGTAAAATATCCTCGCAAGTCCTCACATGTAGGGACTCCTAGGGACTCACCTACGGCCTAAAAACAACACTTTCACACAACAACAATATGTGAAACCCAATCCTCACACACCACACCACCCTTGGCAGGACACCTGTCATCAAATTTTACCAACCACTCCTCCAAGTCGTGGTGTATGCCGCAGCAGTTTGAGACTGTAAACTTGGCTGTGTGGACCCAATCATCAAGATTTTACGGCCCAGAAGTAGGGGCCACGGTGGAATTGCTCTTAGGAAACAAGACTGACAAGTTCTTAGCCAAGAGCTGAGGTTGTATGGACCCAAAATCAATGTAGATATAGTCAAGAGCCATATGCAATTACCATTCCAGCAAGGACCAAGAAAAAGGGACAGCTTTAAATCACTCCAAGAAGCCAGTTGGTCTGAGATTCAGAAGCACAATATTAGAGATGGTCATGGGGTATCTGTTGCAGATACCCGCTATCCACTGGCGGATACCCCCCACGCCAACGGGTACCCGCCAGGGGGTATGGGTTGGGTGCGGATGGCCGCTTTTCCCCCAAATCCTGGCGCATATCTGGGTATCTCCAGGGATACCCAGTGCCAAGAGGATGAGAGGGGCTGGCTGGAAGGGTTTCCTTGCGGCTGGCAAAGCCCTTCCAGCTGGCGAGGTCCTTCCAGCTGGCGAGGTCCTTCCAGCTGGCGAGGTCCTTCCAGCTGGCAAGGTACATGTACCTCATTGACTGGAAGGAAACACTTCTGGTCAACAAGGTACATGTACAGTGCCTAGACAGTGAAAAGTGGCTGTGTATTTTGGATTCCAGAGCTCCAGAGCACAAATTTGAAATCAAGAGCTTTGGTCAGGTGGTGCATAATAGGTCCCAAAAAATGAATATGAAATAATAAAAGCAAAAAATAAAGTTTCAAAATTTGTGAAAAATAAAAAAACAAAATTGTTTTTTTTTTCAAAAGTTTTGATATTCATTTTGGGGGAGTGGGATTGCTGAGAGAAAGAAAGATTGGGAAATGAGAAGAATGATTATGAATGAAAATTTTGGAAAAAATGGTTTTCAGATGGCTTCAAACAGCTGTTGAGTGGGGCATTCACGTCCAGCCCACATTGCAGCAAAGCACTAGAATTTACTGTTTTGGCTCCAATCTGGACCACCAACCTGGCCAAACCTTTTTTGGTTCCAATTTTTTTCATTTATAATCATTCTTCCCACGTTCCATTCTTTCTTTCTCTCAGCACTCCCACTCCCTCAAAATGAATATTAAAGCTTTTGAAAAAAATCGAGTTTATTTTTTATTTTTCACGAATTTTCAAACTTTAGTTTTTGCTTTTATTATTTCATATTCATTTTTTGGGAGCTATTATGCACCACCTGACCAAGTCTTACGACTTCAATTTTGTGTTTCAGAGCTCTGGAATCTGTTGTTGTTGGGGGTTTGTCTTGAGGGAATTTTATTTGATGAGTCTCTAATATAATAGAGTAGAAAGGGTACAAAGGTATTGGTGGTAGTTGTTGTGAGTGTGTGTGAGTGTGTGTGAGTGTGTGTTGGTAAGTGGTTAAGATAAGATGATAAAGTGAATGGATTAAGAGATACAAAATGGGGGAAAAGGGAACTGATATTTATACAAGAATATTGCTGCTAAGACATTGGTCTCAGCAGCCTGCTTTATTGTGGAGAAAGCTCCATGAGACATTTTATCCAGGAGGAAAGTACTTGTGTACTTTCTTCTGGGGAAAGTAAACTTTTACTTTCAGAAGAGAAAAAGTAAAGAGTTACTTTTTCTTCTTAAAGGGAATGCTCCAGTTCTCTGGTGCATTACTTCTTTTATTGCTTTCTGATACACCATGCTCAGCAGGTGTGGCAGCAGGCACATCACCGCTGATGCCATTGCTGCTTGTATTCCCTTCTACAGGGATTACACCTTCAACAGAATCCAAAATAAGCAGCCACTTTTCACTGTCTACCCACTGTACAGTCCCTTGACAGAAAAAACTGAACCCCTGCCAGCTAAAATTGCACAGAGGGGTTCCATTATTTCTGTCAAGGGGCTGTACCTCACCAACTGGAAGGAAACCCTTCCAGCTGGCAAGGTACTTGTACCTCATCGACTGGAAGGAAACCCCTCCAGCCAGCAAGGTACATGTACTTCACCAGCTGGAAGGAAACCCTTCCAGCAGGCAAGGTACATGGTCAGCTTGTATTTCAGTCCAGTTGCCAATCCACTGTGCAGATTCAAGACCAACTTTGCAAAAATCAAAAAGCTGCACCATTAATTAATCATTGATGTAAATCACCATTAATACTTGACCAAAGTACTCCAGCACAATCAAGTTGCCAACACTCAGGTGGTACCTGTGTTCTTTGCCTTTGACACTGCATTTTTTGCTGTGTGAGGGGGCACAAAGCAGGACAAAGAACAAAGATCTTTTTCAACTGACAGCTTTCATGCAAACACATCCTGCAATTATATTCCACCCCAAACCATCTACCATTCATTTCTTGATTGTTACACTTGAGATGTATCCATATCATGCCTTCCTTGTTTTTGGGTTATACTGGGGAGTTCTAATAGTCTAGTTGAATCAATGTAGTTGAGAGAGTTGCATATCATTCCTTGTTCCAGATTGATGTAGTGGTTTAACTGGCTTGATGACTTCCATCTTGCAGGTTTCCATTAAGATCAATCAAGTTGACGTGATATAACCCTCTGACTTCATTGAAACAGATCATTTCCCAAGTTTCAAGCCCTTGGTTGATCTGTTTAAGATGAATGAAAAAGACAACCAGATTGTTAAATTTTTTGTCCGGCCTTTCATGATTTCATTAACAAGGAAGAGGAAGAGGAGAGCAGAGAATCAAGATAATCAGCTTACCAAATCATCCACCATAATAATACCCTCGGTAATTTCGCCTTGACCCAGTAAAAATTGTCTCCGGACTCCATTCAAAAGACCACAACTCAAATGTGGTGTAATCCAAGGATCAGACGAGCTGTTTCCATCGTCCAAACAGGAGAGCTGTTTTTTCCTTCTTATCGCTATGTTTGAAATCGTTGTTTCGGTGACTTGTCTGGAATTGTTAAACATCAACACATCGAATAGTTCTCCTTCCTTAGGTTCATATTTTGCTCCTTGAGAAGATGAATCATTCAGCTAGAGTTTCCTTTTTATAGTATTCATGCCTTGATCTATTGTAAACCAATAAAAGAAAACTAATATGATTCCACAAACCATGTCTCGATCTTGTATGGTCATAATGACTTCGATAGGTAGTTTTTGTCAGTAAGAATGGTTCGCCTTCGTAAGTCGTTGGGCGATCATCAATAGAGACCAATAACTTGGTCAAAGCAATTGCTGGCATGGTAGAGGTCACCAATGAAACCGCCTGTGATGGGCCAACAGTAAGTCGAACTCGAAGCGAATTCAGGGAAGCAGGAGATTGTTCTCTGTGCGACTGGATAGTAGAATTGAGAGCTTTAACAATCTGTTCAGGATCAATGGCGGATTCCTTTGCACACCATGACTCTGGGATGGCTTGAGCAATTGCCTGATGTCCAATTGAAAGCCGAGCGAGGTGTAGATCTAGAGTCGGCAAGCCAAGTGATCTCACGTCAGAGTCGCTACTTTGGAGCACCTTGGCTGGTAGGACAAAACTGGTGAGCAGTCGAAACTCATCCTTCTGGCTCATCCTTGATTGATTGCGCTTGGAACTTTGTGAAGCACGGGTTTCGGCCGACCTGAGTTCCGTTTTGAAGTTAGAAATATCGTTTTCTCTCCGTTTCTTGCCTTTATCGTGTTCGGTCTCGGGTGCGATAACTTGAGCATGAAGACCAGCGGCCCCATGAAGCTGTTTTTTGAGTCGGCTGACTTCTGATCTCAGACTCTCGTAATCGTTTTCTGATTTATTTAGAGCGTTTCTGATTTCCTTGGTAGTTTGTTCGGACTTCTGGAGGGTTTCTCTTAAATGAGTAATATTCGATTCGTACTCCGACAATTTAGTTTCGAGTCTTAGTAGTTCCTTGTGATGTTTTGAGGGTGTCGCTGGAGTAGATAAAGCTCGCGATCGGGGCCTCGAGCCGCGAATATTATCGTAATGTTCCTGATCAGAATTGTAGAGACCAAACGTATCTAGAAAAATATCAAGATGAGATTTCGTGCTTGGATCGAGGAGGAGAGAAACGAGTTATTGAGCTGACCTGGATCGGGATCTGATTCTTTATTTCGAGGAGCTTTGTAGATCTCTAGTGGATCTTTCCTACACGGGTCTTGCGATGGATCGTGAAGCAACGGATTATAACGACCGGGGCTTGGAACGTCAGAGGCTAAAAAAATGAATTCTCAGTCAGTAATCAGGTTGCGCCGAAAGTGATAGAAGTCAATGATAATCTCTCACCTTTCTGTGGTGGTAAGCGTTGAGATTTTGGGCATAATGACATATTGGACGCGCAGAATGACGACTTGAATTGTGAGTGCACTTGGTGGGGTGATTGGATTTCTTTATGAGGTGTTTTTGGTGAGAATTCAGATCATTGAAATCGTTTGATGGATTCGATCAGAGATTGCTTGTGAGGGTCGATTGTTTATGTTTGAATGATGTTGAGGAACGGATTCAAGAGATGGTGGATGGTGTAAGCTCAACTTGTCATTGTCATTGTCATTATAAGGCTGTAACCCGGGGTTCGGGGCGGGGCATGAGGCTCATCCCAAACCTCAGACCCTGGAAATGCCCCGGGGCACCATGAAGCCCCGGGTATCTTGGCTCAGGCTTTACCCGCTATATTTTCCTTCTTGAATCACCCTTGAGTCTCATTAATTATCTGGGTTTCTCAATCCAAAAACAAGATTTGGGCTCTATTTGTTTCTCTTTCTTTTCTCAGAGTTACATAATAGGTTAAACAAACAGCCCCCAAAACTGACCTGAAATCCCAGGAATCCCGTCTCCAAACAAAAAAGGGTCTTGGTTGATCAACTCCCAAAAATGGGAGTTCTGACTCCCATTTTTGAGTCATTGAGAAGACCATGGGAGGAACATCTGAGGACATGGTCCCCCTCCCCCCCCCCTCAAAATCAGCCCCCCTGCCAAGTGGGAGCCACTCCTCCTATTCCCGCAGTGGGAATGCATTCAATGGGGGTTGGAGCACCAAAAAATGATAAAAAAGACACAAAACCCCTGGAGGGGTTGGGAGTCAGTGGCCCAAAAACCTTCCAGTGTGATGGGGCTCTACAACCCTCAATGTCCGGGAGGACTCCTCCCAGCCACTGAGAGTACAGGAGGGGGGGGGGGGGCAATGGCTCTACATAAAGAAAAAAAATGCAAGACAAATCAGTGTAATCAACAGGAAAAAGACATGAGATAAAACCCTTACCACCAGTTGTGTAGTCAAATTTGTCCAGATCAGTGATCAATTTTGGGTTTGAAACAGGGGGCAATGTGGTCACTTGAGCATGTGTGGGTCATGAATTGGCTGTAGGGAGATCTTGAGTGATGGGGGGTATGCCTGGATTTTTAGGGAGTGATTCAGTATTGTCAAAGTCTTGAGGGATGGTTCCAGGAGGTGGATTGGCTTTTGAGGGAATGGTTGGGGCCAATGAGTGTCCTGTTGCTATTGAGGCCAAGGCCAATGGTGTTCCCAAAGTCATCACCAACAAACTTATTGCAGACGGCATGCCTGAATTCGTTGCCAACATTGCTACTGAAGGTATTGCCAACAACGCTCCTGTAGTTATTGCCAACATTTCTTCTGAACCTATTGCCAGCCCCAAACCGGAAGTGATTGCCAATGGCACTCCTGTGGTTATTTCTGACAGTGCCCCAGTATTGATTGCCCCTGTAGGTATCAAGGCCAGGGCTGGGGCTAACAACAATTCACCTGTGCCTGTAGTATTGATCACTGACAAGTCACCTGAGTTTAATGCAAATGAGTTGCCTGAGTTTAACGCTGACAAGTTGCCTGATTTTAATGCCAACATTGCTCTTGTAGTTACCAAGGTCAAGAGCAGGGCTGGGCTGGGGCCAACAACAATTCTATAGCCATTGCCAACAAAGATCCTGTACTGGTTCCCTGGAATAAAGCAAGCATTGATTGCAATTGTGTCAGCATTTCCAGAGGAACAACCACACTGTTTATTGGCAATCTGCTGTGATTTTTTGTTCACATAGCTTTGGTTTTTGGATTGCTTAGAATGAGGTGGTGAGTGTTGATGGTGGGTTTGGAGTAACAGTGAGTGTTGATGGTGGTTGGTTTCAGGGGATATGATATACCATGAAGTCTGTAGAGTCAGACTTCATGGACATCTGGCAGTGCACCCTGCTCCACTATTGGATTACACAGTGGTGCATTCCTAAACAAAGTGGAGCGGGGTGCAGATGATGGAGTGCATGGCTGTGTACTCCAAAGTCATTGGAGTGGCCACAAGTGCACTCCACAAAGCACTTCTCCAGAGTCCAAATGGAGATTGGAGTTATAAATGGTCGTGGGGTATCTGCTGGCAGATACCCGCCAGGGGGTGTGGATTTGGCTGCAGATGGCCATTTTTCCCCCCAAAACTGGTGGATATCCGGGTATGCCCAGGGAAACCCGAGGCTAATGGCCGGCTGGAAGGGTTTCCTTCCATCTGGTGAGGTCCTTCAAGTCGGCAAGGATGTAGCTTGCCGGCTGGAAGGGTTTCCTCAAGGTACATGTACCTTGTTGACTGGAAGGGTTTCCTTCCAACCGGCGAGGTACATCCTTGCCGACTGGAAGGAAACCTTCCAGCCGGTGCCTTGCCAACCATTTAAAGGGCAGGTATCCAAAGATACCCACTTGGATACTCGCTAAGGCGGGGGGATACCTGCCAGTGGCTGCGGATGTGGGTGCAGATGGCAATTTCCCTGGAAAAAGAAGCCGGATATCCACATCCCCGCAGATATCCAGATGCGCTGGGGCCATCTCTAATTGGATTACATGGGCTCCAACTCCAAGATTCCTGGTTTACACCATGGTGCACCCTAGAAATGTTGGAGTGCATGCTCAGACACGCCTTTTTGGTGTGTGGGGGGGTTTTTCTTGGAGTTCAAAAAAGTGGTCCCTCAATAATACTTGTTAACAAATCAAGGTATCCCAAATGTTGATGGGCATATAACTGGCTAATGATGGATTATTTATTATTGCCAGGAAACACAAATGATCACTAGATGACGGGTGACATCAGGCCAAGTTCAGCCTGCTACCTATCATCTACCCCCTTGCAAGTAATTACAGCTCCCTACAGACTCACAGAGAAAAAAGGGGACATTTTAGTCCACTGGTAGTACAACTGTAGTTGGAATAGAGCTAAAACTATTATTTATCAATGTCACCTGTCAAAAATTGACTGTTTTTTACTGGTGTATCTGGATTGCTGGGTCAACATCTGATGGGGAACAAATGAAGGGGGGTTGATAAGCGCACGCCAACCCCCATGGTGCACGCCAATCTGCACGCCATTGCAGAATGGCGTGCAGGCAGGCACGCCACTTGCCTGCTGGGGTGATACCCTGCAGGTTGGTGCTCGCAGTGCATGCTCAGCCCAATA